GCCGTCTGTGCAATACCCTGGTACGTTATTAAGATATTTAGGCATCACTGCAGTATATTAGCACAAAAGAATTTACTTTGTAAACAACGAATTAAACTGTACAAAACTAACTAATTGCAATCCTTATGTTTGCTTTAAATATGAATGAAATATTTACCACAGGACATTTAGCAATCAACAGTCAAGAGTTAATGTACGTGTTGCAAATTAAATTTGCAGGTATGCTAAATATAAACAACCGACTTTGAACAAACTATAAATGACACTTAATCAATAGTTGAAGCACTGAGAAGACTTGCATAAGTCCAGTGAAAACTTGCAAGATAAAATTAAAAGATTTTTTAAGTGTGAAATACCTTCATCTAAAATTATAATAATAATAATCATATTGATCAAAAAATTATGAAAGCTCGCAAGTAAAGATACTTTTTTATTGTGATATTCTTTTTCTTATCTGATGTCTATTTATTTGAGAGAAGAATTAAGTTAGTGATTTCATCTTTCACTGTGCATAGTGTACCACATCTTGGACTATACGGATCACCACACCTTTCGTCTAGATGTCCTTGGATAGTGGCTTTAATATTTTTTAAAAATGACCGAAACCCGACGTCTTCAGTCGTGTCCCCCCTCTCATCATTGAATGCCGTAAATGTTATTCATTAATACTGAGGACATTTTAGAGCTAAAAGATTTTATAAAGTCGACAAGTTTTTGGTGAATGAAAATTGTAGGACACGTTTTGGAGAGTAAAATTTGGACACATTTTGGCGAAGTAAATAATTGGACCATTTGGGGATGTGAAATGGACAATTCTGAGAGTGTTAAATATATGAGAAAGCAATGGTCATAAAATCTGTGTCATTATTTTAGTTACAGGTTATCCACTGATCTGATGGCCATGGGTGGCCAATGAAAAGAATAATTCAGACAGCCATTTACATAAATTGTCATGATCACATGACCTCGCAGTTGGTAACATTTGCCAAACTTCATGATAAGACTAATGGTTGATGTAACCTTAATTGACTAGGATTGTCAGTCTTCCTACTGTCGGTTGGTGGTTCTCTACGGCCACTCCTGCTTCATCCACCTATAAAAACTGACCACTACAAAATAGCTGATAGTGCAGCAGCTACTTTGCTGAAAGTGGCCTTAAAACACAAATCAATCAATCAATAATTACATGAAGGTTAGTTTAACGGGAACCACTTATGGGAAGTCAATGATATGTGGTATGTACTATTGAAGTTGAAGGAAAATTTGCATATCTTATTCTATGGATATTAACGGGCCTGCCCCCAAACATCAAAAATTCATTGTCTATTGACTTAAAAAATTTGATAAGTTCATATGCTTAATCTGCTTAGTTCATTTTTAGGGGAACCAGTAATGGTAAGTCAATGATGCTTGGTGTGTTGTTGTACATGTATCAGCATTATAACATCTCATCCATGGTCAAACCCTAAGTCATGGTCTATTGACATTAAATCTTTGTCTTATTTACATGTTACAGCTTAAAAATATAAGTTCAAACATCAGAAAATCACAATCAGCCAACAATTAACATCATATTACATGTACATGCATATTAATATTTTGGTAAAAGAAGTTCATCCTCTCGATCTATGTTTTCATATTCTTTTCATATTCATGTAAATAGAAGCCACATGGGTATATACAACAAGACGACAATCCAACAACAAAGATAATTGAAAGATATCTAGAGGTCAATATACAGTCTCGCACAATAGACAAAATAAAAAAAGTACAGCCAATTGTTGAAAAGCATTATTACATGTATTTGCAAGATTTAAAATATCTTATCTTTCACAATTTTTTTAGTATAAGGTTCAACATATTATTTTATAAAACTGCGATTTCATTGTAGCTAGTCTGTTAAAAGGATATCAATTAGAGAAGTCAATACTATTGGGACATTGATTTGAGAACAACAGAAAAGACGTCTACATGTATTAGAGGGGTAAATAATTGGTCGTAGATTTGGAATTTTATTTTAGTATGACGTCAGACTTGGACTTGAGGAATGGAAGTCGGTAAGAGACCGGACCTCAATCTGAGACTTACATGTACATATGTATATTTATATTGATTCAGCTGTGACGTAAATAGATACTGAAAAGTCTGATTTTTTTTTTTATAGTTTTGAATGTTTGTTCACCTGTTGACTATATGATTAGGTGGAAGTAAGTTCTTATTTCAAAAAGAGGGGCACTCAGCATATATATTAATTTGTGCATGAAGCGACAACTACTTGCTAGGTGCCAAATGTTTTTACCACAACTTGTATAAGTTTTAACCGGAATACGTACATATAATATAAAAAATGTACATGTCTTTTTCAGGACTTCTGATCCATGTAGTTTGGCAGGTTTGTTAGATCATAGATGTGGTTATGAAGGGCAGATGCTCATGAAGGGCCTGTACTTCAAAGTATATCACTGGATTGAGTTCCGTCTAATATAAATAAGAAGATGCGGTATGAGTGCCAATGAGACAACTATCCGTCAAAGTCACAATGTGTAAAAAGTAAACAATTATAGGTCAAAGTACGGCCTTCAACACGGAACCTTGGCTCACACCGAACAAAGTGCTTTGCTTTGAGCTCAGTTTATTGTTATGCAAATACATTCTGTGTAGAATAAACATTTGACAGACAAATAACATCTGCACATGAACTGTAAGGTAAAATAATTAAAACTGTCAGCACAAGGAATTGTTGAAGTAGCATCCAATGTAAGAAGTTAAAGGGGCATTAGCTACAAGATATAGATAAATTGAAATACGATTTTTTTTTGTTCAATCATTAATGAAAGTGAAATAGTGAAATAATAATTCACTTTTAGCTGCCAGTTTAGTTCAATTTTGTCAAAATAAGCTATGAAACATCGCTGATGAATTATTCACTTGCAAGAGAATAATTCGACCTCATTGAATCCGTATTCATGTGACCTTCAATTTAACCCATTAGCTAGAGATTGGTTACGCATGTATAAGTCGTGTTCAGTCATTAAAAGGAAAAGAATGTCAACATTGAACATGAAACAAAGGTGAACTATTTCGTTTTCTGATTTGATCCACAAAAAATCATTCTTATACAGGTAAAAACGATGATTAACTTATTTTTTCAACCTATGATATGAAATCAAACATACCTAGAAAAGTCCAGTTGCACGAGGTCGCTATCTATTTATATTTATGTTTATGTTTATATCAGGTTATGTGACTGTTGGCAGTCTTCGAAAGTCATCTCGATGGTTAATTAGATGGCGTCTAGATTAAAATTCACACGAAATTCTGATATATATTATTGAGTCCATGCATTGTTAATTGTTTATTTCAGACTTATTGTAATTTGGATATACGTTTTAGTATGTTATAAATCAAATATGAGAATTTGAGTCAAATCGGTGAACACGAATTTGACAGCTAATTCCCCTTTAAGGGGAGATTGAAGCATTTTATTTATATTTGAACCAAATTTTTTTTTGTCCAGAAGCCAAATAAAAAAAAAGCACACATTTACCAAACAATGCTACTCGTGCTACTAGCAATATGATGCTAGGTGGTTTTGTTATACTTTTTCCAAATATCTGTACTGCCTACTGACGAGTCCTTAGTGTAAATGGTCATTCACTTATACATTATGTCTATTTATGTAAAAGAAAAGGACAAATTCACAAGGCCTAATCGATTTCTAAAATTAACTTTCATTGTTCAACATTTATCATTCATTCGTTAATTACAGCACTGTTCACTTTTATACCACAACAAAACTTGTATATTATATTATATTATATTATAATTACTGTACCGGTATCACTTATATCTTTATCTATGTAACAAAAATTTTGATAAAAAAGAATTAAAATAACACAGTAGTGTACTTTCTAGTTTATCTAGCCCCAAGCGTCATGCCAGGTATTGTCATTACCTAAAACTGTTAGATATATTCGAATAAACAATTTCGACGTTTAAACGAAATGTTTACCAATGATATTGAGAAGATCCTTAATTAATTTACAGTCTTTGTGGACAAACCCAAGTAAGGAATGACCACCACAAAGGAATATAAATAGACCCATACAAACAGTACATGCATGCAGGCTCTCAGATACCATCTCACATATTAAAATCACATCATGCAAAAATTTACCCAATGTGTTCCTCTCCTAATTTTGAGTTTTTGCTGCTATCCAAATTATCCAGTTGTGGAATATATGTTTTCAGAATCATTTGGTAATCAATGCAATTAGTGTCTCCTCCATTTACAGTCTTGAACATTAAAACTAAATATTAAATAAACGACACTGCTAATTTTTAAGTGTTTGGTACAGGTTGGCCGTCACTGTGCAACACAGTTTAACATAAAACCCTATGGGGAAATTTTTTTGTCAGAACACACTGTTAAACATCCAAACATACTATCCACACTGATCTGTGTCCACACTGGTACTATAATAAGATATTCATTCGGAGCATCTTCGGTCTTCTTTTTTGCTAACAACAGGAGTAAAAACTACCTAATGGTTTGAAAAAGCTCTAACTCCTCATCTTTGAAAGAGTTGATTAAAAAAAAGACGAAGGCGAATGCTATTTCAAATGAGAACAAGAAAAAATCGATTAGCAGGAGCCCACAATTAGTTTGAAATTCATGTTGGAATACAAATTCACCAAATTATGAACAAGTTGCCGATTAAAAAGTCAAAATTGAAACATATTAGCAAAACCCTTCAAAGGTTAAATTTGACTGATTGAGTTGCAAAGATTTTCCGTCCGGGATTACCAAATTGTACATTATTAACACTGCATATGGTGAATATAGACTTCTGTGCAAATAATACTCTCGATTTTGCATAGTTGGACAAGTTAAAACTAGTTGACGATCCGGTTCATCGTTTGGTGTTCATGCGAATTCCTCATTTGTTCGCCGTCTTAGGTTGTATATTCTAAATGAAAGAAAAATACACGCAATTGAATTACAAGTGAAAGCTGGATTTATTCTTCTTCTAATCAATAAAAAACGTATATTTGTAATATATAAATTAAAGAAAACCATAACTTAATACGCAATCCCTTATATTAAGGTATTTAACGATTCGGGACATTATCTATTTCAATGATACACTATACAATTTCATGTAGTCAACAAATGAGAGATCATCATAAAACTGACCCGTATACCTTTCAAACACAGTTGATAATTCATAATTAGAATTTAAGGAATAATTTATATTATAACCGCTGATTACAGACTTGGCTTGCGGAACAGAAATAACGATTCTTTTTAAACCAGTGCCTGCGGGCTTTCTTTTGGACAAACCTAAAACAACAATATTGGACTTTTGGAAATCTAGTTTTCTACTTAGTCCCCATATCGTGTACTTTTGTCTCAATGAACAAATGTTGTTGCCTAAAGTGCTGATCCTGCTCAACTCTTAATGTACGCCTCTAGTTTTATCTGCTCTGTTGAATAAGTCATTATTTCATGAATAATTTGAATCCCCAGTGATTGGTTGTGGGGACATTAAAGGCTCTTTTATGTAGCCAGTGGCTTGTTGTTGTACATTCAAATTAACTGATTCTGTAACACTATCATTGTTAAGGTAAAAATCAGTTGTCTTTGATGAAGGTGAAATTTTATTATTTTCTAAAATATCCCTTTTTCTTTGATTTGATGATTTTGCATCTTTTCTAACTTCCAGAGATAAGCCAATGTTAATGTGAGGGGAAGAAAGACACTCTTCTAAACAGTCACTTGTTTCTTGTGTGTGATCACTGTCTGAATCAGCAACAAAGGAATCCGGTAACTTAAGTTGAGCTTTCGAATAATTACTTGCGCCATGTATTTGTAACTTTTCTACTGGATTTAACCTTTCCAACTCTTCTGCGGAATTACAATGCACATTCAAACAGTTACTTGCGTCCGATCGGCGCCTATCTGAACAATTAGTATCTAAAAAAATGTTCTCAACAACGTATGAGTCTATTTCCGAAGTAGAAAATGCACATTGTTTCGTAGGTAATAACGACATGTTATCACATACATTAGTTTGCGGAGAAGCAGTTGTCACATTTGAACAGTTATTTGTATCTTTTAAGGAAGAATATTCTAAAATTGTCTCCGATACGTGTGAATTCCCTTTTGTACGTAAGATATGACGAGCCGCTGGAGAATAGCTTGGTTGAAGTTGCTGTTCATCCACGTAGGATTCGATTGAAATATCAAAAGAAGATTCATTTGTTACTGGGGATCGCAAGGTTTCGCCAGAAGCACCAGATGAAGTAAAAGCTGACAAATTAGTTTCGGGTGTGTCTTCCTCGGTAGTGGACGATTCACTCAATGGTGATCCTTTTACCTGATTACACGGTGTAAATCCATAAAAGGCGACATTAGAAACGTTTATTGTTGATCGCGGTGAAATAAGTGGCACACCAGAGAAACCATTATCACCATTACGCACTCGTCCCTGTATTTAAAACAAAAGAAATAAAATATATGGAAGAAAATCTAATTATCATAAATTGATAAATTATAATTCATTGTTTACTATAAATGAATAAATTATTATACAAAATTTACCATTTATTATTCACAATAAGTGTAAAGTTTTTAAACGTGAAAACAATGATGTTATCTTTTTGTCACTTTATTCTTAAATGTTTTTATCCGTATAAATCAAAAGTTCTGACAGGGTAAAGAAAGACCTAAAAAAAACTTAAACATTTATAGTAGGGATGTCAACGAGTACTCGAGTATTCGAGTAGCGCTCGGTAGTACCGAGTATCGAATACCGAAAATACCAAAACGATACGTGACTAATCGGTTTCCTGTTAGAATATTGCTGTTTTCTTTATATAAAATTGATCTTCTTGAGAACCTCTTTCATAAAATTAAATAGGCATCACTGATTAATCATACTAGTAAATAAAATACATTTTGTTTCGAATGCTTGTGCTAAATTGTCATTTAAAATGCCTCTGAAACTTCGTGGGCTATACCTAGGCTAACACTTTACACTAAACATGTCTTAGCCATTCCGTCACATCGATACCGTCAGAGCAAATATTTTCGTCTGCAAGACTGTGATTTACAAAGTTGAAAAACCGACTGTCCCCAATAATAGTTGACAAGAAAATGTTTCCAAATAAAATAAATTCGTTGCATCCTCGGGTGGCCCTCAGCGAACAATTAAACTTCTAATCCTTACGCCTTTTTAAACATTAAATGTGTTTTCTTAACGATTACCAAAAACCATTGTTTGATATGGGGTTTCCTTGTTATAATTTTCAAATAGGTGTTCATTAAATTATATTGATTAGATTATTGTCCTCAATTAATTAGTACTTGTGGGTAATGAGCTATTAATTATGGTGTGTTATTCCTTGTCCTTATGTAGATGTTTTTTCGTCAACGAACAAGTGAACAACAAACCATAGAATATAAGTACGTATTTTTGTGTTTCCGTGTTGTAGATATATTCCCGAGCGAGTACTCGGAGTATTGCTCGATAAAACCAACGAGTACTCGATTAGTAATTGTTCACCGAGTTGACATCCCTAATTTATACATATTAGTTATTCTATTGTGCGGAAAGAATCTTCAGTAAAACGATTAGACATATATTATTAAGAACAAATCAAAAACAAAGAGAAACAGAATGTATTTTATCTCAGAGAGGTATAAATATGTTAATTTTTTCGATACTAAGTACAGAAAAAGGTTCCCAAATGTTTTGACGATACATGTTAAAGTAACAAGGTTCGATGCTTATACACAAAAAATTAAGTACTTAATATATGTTGTTTTATGATAGAAAGCATATTTGATGATTTTACCTTTTTACCGTCAGTTGAGGTAAAAACGATGATTTTGAAAGGTTAAAAGTAACATAACAAAAATACCGATCTCCAAGGAAAATTCACAAAATGGAAAGCCCCTTATCAAATGGCAAAATCAAAAGCTGAAACAAATTAAAAGAATGGAAAACAACTGTCATATTCCTGACTTAATACAGGCATTTACTTATGTAGAAAATGGTGGATTAAACCTGGTTTTACAGCAGCTAGCTAAACCTCTCACTTGTATTTATTTCGACGACATATGTTCCAACATCCTAAATCTGGTGGCTATCACGTATGATAAAACTAACAACTAAAGCAAACATTTGTATCGTGGAAAAAGCCAAAGTCACTGCACATTAATTATGACAAGTATCATAGGTATAATATATAGAATCAACCACTGTTAAAACTGAAATTCGGCACAAAAGTGTATATATTTAGAATTCAAGTTTTAGGATCTAGTTCATACTTATGATTATGAAAAATGCGGCTGTTTTTCGTGTAAATCAACATTTTCCATGTATCTTATGTACCAACATACTGTTAAATACTTAGATTTACACTTTTTATCATTGTATTTTCCTTTAGCATGAGAAATATTTTTAAAAATATTTTCGCAGCGATTCTAATGTTTTTTCTTTTCTTTTTTAGGGGGCTAAAATGTTTAATACATTAGATATTTTTTACTAAATGATGATCATATAATGTACTACAGTATGGTCTCTGGAGGATTGTCTTATTTGCAATCATACCACATATTATTTCTATACATATTTTTTATACCACCCCCCCCCCCCCCCCCCCCCCCAAAAAAAAAAATAAATAAATAAATACAGTAAAAGTATAGAATGGCGATCTTGTGTTTTGTTTTAGAAATATTCAAGGCTATATCGATGAACTTAAAAATAAATAATTCAAATAAATTAATATAAACAGATTGCTGACATTTGGGTTAATTGGCATGCAACTTAGTCACAATAACATTATGCGAGTGCGAAAAAGGGATCCATAAGAACAAGAATCGTAGTATATCATAGATAATGCATGCAACGTAAATGACTTACATTCAAAATTGCGCGATTGGTGCTTGGTACAACAGTGGTAGTTTCTATATCTGTAAGACCTCTACTCCATCTTCTATATTTTCTGCAAATAATTCTACAAAAACAAGCATGTGTATTGACTTATTTGAATTTGTTGATTTTATTTGTGGTTTTGTAGCAAAAATAATGAGTGCAAAGACGCACTTTTGGAAAATTATATGGTGTATAGTCAAATTGTAATATTAATAAATAATCAGAACAAAAACTACAGGTGTGTTTTGCACTGATCTATAAAAGATGTAACAATTCAATGAAAAAAGAAAAGGCACCCAGACAAAACAAAAACGAATTTACGATGAAAATTAAAATTGGGCTATATATGAAAACAAATTAACTTACTTCAGACTATCGAATATATTATTAGTTAAACTAGTAATGATGTTAAACGCTTACGATACAATTTTATTTGAATTACAACCAACGCATTAAGTATATTGAATGATTTTTCGATTTAAAAATCTAGAGATGTTTAAAACAGAAGTCAAGGTAGTTTAGGGAATCGGAAGATAAAGGGTAGTACATATCTGAATGCTTTAAATTACCCTTCCATGAACTATAATTCAATTAAGAATAATGATTACCGTGCTTAAAATAAAGCAATTTATAGATTGATATAAAGCTTCGATCGTTTTATAAGCCGTTAGACATACAGAAATTATAAGTCTGCCATATATTTTCAGCGGAAAATCTAGAGACAAAATTTATCACTCTTCAAATCTTGCAAACACTGACAAATGCAAAGTAAAAAGACACTTTATTAGTTGCGCGTCTGTGTTTTGTGCGATTTTTTTTTATCAACGTGCTTCAATGAACAAATGCACCGTTACTGACATATATCAATTAATTCGTCTCGAACCTATGCTAGGGCGGATAGATCTTGCATTGATATGTGAGACTTTGCTGCGTATTGAAGGCCTCATTGTAATTTCAACACGAAGAACAGCAATAAAAGCGTTGTTACTTTGCATTGGCTTTTGACAGCTTCGTTTAAATGTTAAAGCAAAGGAGTAATACACCCTAGACGCAAGTTTTACATCATATCCTTCTTTTTCATTAAGTCATTTGTCTAAGTTGAAATCTATGCATACAATTTACTATGGCCATGCACATCTTTTTTTCTGCATTGATCATGTCCTTGATGTATAAAGTCAATTTGAAAAAAAAACACATGTATCTGCTTTAATTAAAGTACTTTGATCTAGCTTTCAGTGATTGCAGCATTCTTTTGCAACGCATTTATCTAGGATTGTTTGATTTGTAACTGTGTTCTATCGTCTGTAGTATAGATAATACTGAATTGAATTCCTTCCCAACTTACCACGCGTTATTAAGTGCTGCTTGACATATGATATATACAGTGGTCTATAGTTTAAAGTAGGGATGTCAACGAGTACTCGAGTATTCGAGTATCGCTCGGTAGTACCGAGTATCGAATACCAAAACGATAATCGACTAATCGGTTTCCTGTTAGAATATTGCTGTTTTCTTTATATAAAATTGATCTTCTTGAGAACCTCTTTCATAAAATTAAATAGGCATCACTGATTAATTATAGAATGAATTTCATAACAGTGTGGACATGGACACCTAATATTTAAATGATATCGTGTCGGTCACTGGCTGTCGACAACAAAGACTTCACGCAATTACAGTATGTCAGGGGCTTCTCAATGGGGATATACATAATTACTATTTTACACATGTCCATTCATAAATTATTTTTTTTTATGAAAGTTTATAGGAATTTGTGTTGAATATATCTATATACTGGCAGCAAAAAGTTTCTTTTGAAAGAATGAGTATATTCAAAGGTGATATCACAAAGTAATCAAGAGAAAAAAGTAGGACAAATTCTTGTTTTGAAATAAGTGAAACATTAAGTAGTGTGTCAGTTATAGACAAGTAGTCCATCATGCATTGCAAATCGTTCAGTGGATTGGTCAATCGCCAAAATAAAAACAAAATGCTTTATTTGTAAACAAACAGTAATACATGCATGGACGGGGTCATAAGTATGCTAAATAATACATGTCCGTATAATGAATTGTGTCCGACCTGTTAAACGCAGCTGTTCTGTTATTTGAAAAAACGATTGGACGAATCACAGCGATGTAATTTAGAATTGTACTTATTTTTTTTTAATTTGTGTTTCAGTATCTATCCATGAATTAAATATGTTCAGAATACCTTTTATACTAGAATAATTAAACGAGTGCACCCAGTTTAAAGGTTATTATTACACTGTTACTGTTATGTTGACATAATAACCTGTATATTATCTCGTGTTACAGTTGACCAGTTTAGTCTTGTGCACATGATTTATTATTCCAAAACAGATGTATTATGAACATATCATTAAATTCGTGGATATATATTGAAACACAGAAACCGAAAAAGAAGTGAATACAATTTCAAATTGAAAGGGGGCGACCATTCCTGACTCAGCTAAAATAAGGGAGGGGGTGGCTATGCAAGAGGCTTTTGAAATCAGCATGAATAAAATTGCAAATAAATGTTTATTCAGAATTGTATCAAATATGCGTCCTCAAATAACAACAACAAAAAAAAGGTGAGTAAGACCAAAATCAGTCTGCTTAATTTGTAGTAAAAGAATATAGATCCTGTAACTTTTGTTATACATGTTCAGGTATAACAAAATCTAAAATAAATATAAATGTTTCCACAAAACTTACTCTGACTCTAATCAACGTAAATTTTGCACACAAGACTAGATTCATATGCTTCTTGATATTTTCACGAATGCTATTTAAATGTTCACGAAAATCTGATCGTTGGAGTCTTCGATGGGAATTCAAATTTGTTCCGTGCAAAATATTATGCAGCCCAGAGGACTAAAATGATTTTTTATGAATGTCCGGGGTTCTTATTACCAATAAAAATAATCTTAGTATGAAGTTGGTCGTAGGTTACTCTACATCAACTCGTACGAATAAATGTTTTCTCATTTTTTTAAGGAGCCACATAACATTTGTGCAAGAAAAAACATAACGTTTTTTCTCTCGATTACTTGGTGATATCACCTCTGAATATACTCATTCAATCAAAAGAAACTTTTTGTTGTGAGTATGTAAAAATATTAAAAATAAATTCCTATAAACTTTCATGGAAAAAAAATTATTTTATGAATGGACAAGTGTAAAGATAGTAATTATGTATATCCCCATTGAGAGGCCCCTGACATACTGTAATTGCGTGAAGTCTTTGTTGTCGACAGCCAGCGATACACACGATAACACTTAATTACTATGTGTCCATGTCCACGCTGTTATGAAATTCATTCTACTAGTAAATAAAATACATTTTGTTTCGAATGCTTGCTAAATTGTCATTTTAAATGCCTCCGAAAATACGTGGGCTTTACTTAGACTAACACTTTAAACTAAGCATGTCTAAACAATTCCGTCACATCGGTACCGTCAGAGCAAATATTTTCGTCTGCAAGACTGTAATTTACAAAGTTGCAAAACCGAATGTCCCCAATAATAGTTGACAAGAAAATGTTCCCAAATAAAATAAATTCGTTGCATCCTCTGGTGACCCTCAGTGAACAGTTAAACTTCTAATCCTTACGCCTTTGTAAACATTAAATGAGTTTTCTTAACGATTACCAAATACCATTGTTTGATATGGTTTTTCCTTGTTATAATTTTCAAATAGGTGTTCATTAAATTATATTGATTAGATTATTGTTTTTACTTAATAAGTACTTGGAGGTAATGGGTTATTAATTATGGTGTGTAATTCCTTGTCCATATGTAGATGTTTTTTCGTCAACGAACAAGTGAACAACAAACTAAAGAATATAAGTACGTATTTTTGTGTTTCCGTGTTGTAGATATATTCCCGAGCGAGTACTCGGAGTATTGCTCGATAAAACCAACGAGTACTCGATTAGTAATTGTTCACCGAGTTGACAGTCCTAGTTTAAAGACACATGTTGACCATTGAGTGTATATCTTTGGCAATAGGGATATTCATGTCGTCCCATCACATGGTGTTATGTTTTGTTGTTGGGTGTCGCCTCATTGTCATATACCTTTGATTTTCTTTATTCATATTTTTACTTTTATTTTTCAAACACAATCATTTCATTAACAGTGACAGTAATGCGTGTACAAAGCATACTGATGTACTTTCTGCTTCATATTGTTGGTAGGACAAGTTTGCTCTTATTTGAGTGGTATCGGACTCCCTTTTGTCGGTGGATTGAGTTGGTGGGTAAGAATATTGCGGATTTGAACTTAATTGTCAGGTGTGTGAGTTATTTTTAAAGTTATGGTGAGTAGGTGGGAGGAGAATTATCTGGGATGCTCAAGGTGTAAAGAAAGATCTGTTGCAACACAATGTTTGTAGACCTTATTACAATAAGTTCAAATTAATACATTAGTGTTCATTTTTATTGATAAGAATGTCATTTATAAAGATTAGATTAAATCATCGAGTATATCTCTATTGGTATAAGTCTCCAATTGATGTAATTCAGGAAAAAAACCCCAGAGTAAAACACAAATTTTGACTATAGAAATAAAAAAACCCAACCAATTTGGTTGTGTTATTTCAATAAGATGCAATAGAAGATTATTGATGTTAAAATCTCGTAAAACGTTTGGAATATACAAACCAAGTAAACAAAACTGAGGGAAACACATGACTTTAAAATGGAACAAGATCAGTTGCATCGAAATGGTAAGTGTCTGCTGCTATACATTTATCAACCACGATGAGATCCAGACTAAGTCAATCACGAAAGGGATATGCCATTATAGGCAAATTTACAGATCAGGTAAGATTTCAACACCCTCAGGAAAAATGTGACCTAGATGGATTTGGCTATTATTTTTAGGTCCTTTCTAGTCATATAAATCTTCAACCATTTAGGCTCTTGTATATCTTTGGCTTTCAAATAATTGGCTTTAAATCCAGAAAAAGCGCTTCGGACGCATTAAATTGTGTTTTTTTCTTCAGAAGACTTTACTGGTGAAAAAGTTTTATGGGCACAAAAAATGTATCTCGTGAGTTGTAAAAGAGAGGCGAAGGACACCAAAGGGACATTCAAACTCACAAGGATTGTAGTTACGACAATTGGAACATATCCGTTGTCATCTGTGAAACGGATATTCCATAACGGTCAACAAACTCGTGATGGTTTCAACTTCACCACTTGGAACTCTTGGTTAAATAGCTTCCTTGTGAACAGCAACCATGTATCAAGGAAATCATGATAGGAAATACAAGCCCTGGAATAGCGTACCAACTGGGAGATATATACTGCGTATGCAGGTGCTGCAGGAATGTTGCTATATAGAAATAGGAAGTTCACAATTAGGAAGCTGAAATCATCTCTTTTGTCGTAAAGTTTTGTTTTCAACCGATCAGCATTGTCAATTTCTAGATGTAAGTCAAGAAATGAGGCCGACTTAACTGTAACTGTTGTATCCTTTATCTCAAGTTCGATGGGATAGATGCTTTCAACATAGTCACCAAATTTTGAATTATTTAGTGAGAGAACATCGCGGACAGTGAGGTTAGAGGATACTGCTTACTTCTTTTTCTTTCTTCCTAAGAAGTTCCTGTATGTGGTCAGCCTCATATAAATAAAGGAACAAGTCGGCAAGAACAGAAGCACAGTTAGTTCCCATGGGAATGCCGATTGTTTGTTGAAAAAGTCGTCCTCAAAACGTAATAAATATGTTGTCAATCAAGAAATCAAGCATCTTGATAATGTCAGTTTTAGAGAATTTATTTTTACAAAGTATGATTTATCCCTCCCTATGACAAGAAACTTGTATCTACGTAGGCCATTCTTTTTTATGAAACAAAGCAGGACCAACTCTTTCAATTTGGCTTTTAGTTTGGAATGAGGAATACTTGTGTAAAGTGTAGAAAAGTCAAATGTTTTAATACTATTGCAAGAGGAAAGAGTCTCAGATTGTATGTATTCTAAAAGATCTTTGGAACTTTTTAGTATCCACATCTGATTCACGCAACCTCTAGAATAGGTAGTTTCACAATAACTTTGAAGCCCGGCTTTAATTGCTGATAAAATTGATTTTAATAATTTTGAAAGAGGCGTCGAAGAGATTATATACAGCCGATAGATGACTTACTGTGTTTTATTTCGGGCTGATGAATTCATAATATAGGTAACAGTATTTTGTCGATGCTGAGATCTTATTTCTTCATTAAGAAGATCCAAATCAAGATAAACATAAAGGCTGAGTGAATTGCATGAAACCTAAGACGAGCAAGACCGGGTGCGTATAATAAATCATAACATTTTAAACTAATTTAAGAAAAATTGTTATTGTCAGTGTCTTTTCTCGTTATCTTATATGCCTTATTTGCTATGCATGTACATGCATCTGAAATTGAAGTGCTTTTGTTAACTGCTTGATATTGTTTATAAATTTTGAAATTAAAAAGAAACTAAGGTTTCAACTCCCTCAGGCAAAGTTGGCCTTTGAAGGATTTGGCTATTATTTTAGGTTTAGGTTTTTGATTAAATAGCTCTTCAAAAGTTTCGGTTTTATACATCCTTGGCTTTCAAATATTCGGTTTTGAGCGTTCCTGATGAAGTTAATCCAGAAAAGCGCTTCGGACGCATTCAATTTATAACGTGTTGTTATCATTTTTATGGAACAATGACGTAAACCAATACGCTATTTCCTACCAAGTAAGATCTTATCTCGACTGTCATCAATTTTAAACTCATAACTGTTTCAATTGTATTAGTTTTTTCCGAAAATTTAAATTGTTTGTCTTTTAGTTTAAAGATAGTTCCCATAATTTGGGGAAAAAATGTATAACGTCAATTAAACAATACTTAAAAATATAACAAAATGATACTTACATTACAGCAATATGACAGCATAGTACAGCAACGGACACACTTACAATATAGAACGCAGTTAAATTCCTTTTCTTTCTATATCCTGTTTCTGAAGCAAGTGAAAAAAAAACACAGTTAATAGGATTTAATGGTCATTTAATCAAATATTTTGAACATTTCATGTATTGACACTGGACACAATATCCTTTAAAAATTGTGCAATATTCTTTAGGAAATTTTTAAGATATTAACTTAATTAATTAAAGCTTATATAATAGAGATTAATAAACAAAAAAAATAGACTGCTTTACGTCAGAAACGCTGCCATACAATATATACACACATTTGTAGTCCTAAAAGTTTAAATCCCCAAACGGTATTCATTTATAATTACAGGTAGAAGTAAACATGTAATGAATGATAAAAGTTGAAGTCATATGAAACAGGTTTCTTGGAATTATAATGTTACGAAAATATTGAACCAATGCATGCATATATACTAAAATAAGTCATCTTTTCACGATTTTTTACATGTGTTACGAATCCATAACATATAATCGAAAACAAATATTTCATTTATTGAAAACTTCGCCTGCTAATTAACTTTCGTATTTTATTGCCGAATTTGACTAAACCCGACCTTTGTAAAGAATCAATTGAGATGACAGACATACAATAGAGCGATATCAATTCTTTATATACTGTAGATGCGTTTCTATTAGTTCATTTATCTTTGTCATAGCAGTTGTTGAATGATTTTGTGTATCAACATATTTCTTTCAGAATCAATTAACACTATCTAACTTCCACGATTGTTTACCCTTTCTTTCGGTTTTCCCTCGCCCTTACACCCTGCGGTTGCCGAAGTACTTACAAAAGTCTCGTGGTTAAGGTCACTGCATACAGAAAAGCTATAGGCGAATTAGAGTACGGAAAGAAAAATAATTAGATTACAGTACCTTTCTGAAGATTTTGATAAGATAAAGGATTTTCTTTTAAAAGCATATTTATTTACACGTGTTTTATAGTAAAACTTAGCTATTTAGGTATTTAAAACATATTCAACTTTTTTTTTTAAATTTGAAGAATCATATGACTTTAATCAAATCGTAAATTGTCAAGCCTTCATTCAAAATACCAAGAAAATTAGATCGTATCTGGTTTCCATTTTAAATATGAAGTCTTTGTGAATTTGCACACGTGCATTAAAAATATTTGTAGATGTTCATTAACTATCTTAAAAGATCAATTACTAAAAAGACAAAAAAAAAATAGCGAAAACAATCGCAGTGGAATGAATCGCATAAGAAACTAGGAACATTGACACGGTATGCATCTCCACATATGCTATATCATTCATCCCACTATTCTAAGGCTACATCAAATTGCAATGTGACAAATCCAGGAATGTGTAAAAGCCTTCAGCAATGTCAAACGGATAAAAGATAACATGTTGGATATATAAAAACTCACCAAAGATACATGGCTTATGATTTGGTACCCAGATGCGCGTTTTGCCTACATCTCTGAGGCCTACATAAAACTCATAAGTGGCGCTCGAATTCAAACAGTTGAAAAGGCCAAATCAAATACAAAGTTGAAAAGCATTAAAAACAGAAATTTCTGAAAAGTTGGGTCAATCATAGCTTAAGGGGTATAAAAACCCTTAATGTCCGAATAATTCAACATTTATAAACAGTAAATTTAAAGAAAATGAGTATATCAATGGTCTTTTATGTCAACACAAAAGTGTTGCCTATGGACTCTGATACCGTCTACTGAAGTTAAAATGTTACTAGATAACTGAGAAACGGAGATACTGTAACTATCACCTGTTTCAAGATGGCGACGAAAGAATGCCATTAGACAATAGTTTCCATTTTTTTTCCTTTATAACCCTGTTGGAGGTGTTTTTGAGTTTACTGCATGCATTTGTTAGCTAACTCGCCATTCTATAAACAAGTCCTTGCATATTGTATCTAATGAGATTTGTAAACGTTGATACTCTTGGTTCCAATCGTTATCATTCTGTCAAAGTATTTGGTTTCAGATGACGTTATTTTACATCATTTGTGTATTATTTTGGCATACAATATACTTCATTACGCTGAACAAAGGAATGGGTATCTTAATTGAGATAATTTCCTTATCACGGCTGCGATAAATGTAATAAATGATTGAACTAGTATGTTTATAGGAAGGGTTAACTTATCGACATCAGAAAATAGCGTTGTATTCAAGTGGGCACAACAGACGGGTTATTGCAGGGATGCAGGAACCCATGTTGTCCATTTAAGAGTAATTGACAACAAAAAAGAGCATAGCATAAAAATAATATTTTCTAGTAATGGAAAAAAAAGTTAAAAGACCAAAATAAAGAACAAAGTTCAAATTCTCTGAGGACCCAAAATTCCGATAGGTTTTGTCCAAATACAGCAACGGTAATTTATTCCTGGGGTAGAAAATCCCTAGTTTTTCGAACAATTCAAAGTGTTGTTAATATTTAGTTTATAAAAAAAATATGTTAGGAATAGAGTGTTTTGCTTGAGCAGACAACAAGTCACTTCTAAAGAAAAAAAATTACAATATAAAAATCATTTGGAGTGTCATAGATTTAATTTTCAGTTGTACATTAATATCAGTTTAAAGAAAAAGACCTATATATGATTCATACCTTATTTGTTATAATGGATATAAATCAGACATTCGTTCAATTGTAGCATTCTCATTACATTTATAGAGTTTGTCTGTTATAGCTTGAAATTTGTTTATATTACATGGCATCTATATTTGTATATGGACATAGTTGTCGTTTTCGATGTGCAGCTGGCAAAGAATTCCGCTCATACTGGTTCTATGTGCAGTTCTGAACTTGAATTTAGATATGAGCTTTTACTCCGTTTTGAAGGCTTCGGAATGACTCTAAGCCGAAAAATAACAATAAAAAGCTCTAATCCCTTGCTTTGGATTTATTCAAGTACGAGTATGTACCAAGTGTCTTAAATTAAAGGGGCATTACATGTCAAATTCATGTTTACTCAAATTCTCATATTTGATTTATATGTATAACCTACTTGAACATATATCCAATTTACAATAAGTCTGAAATAAACAATTAACAATTCATAGACTCGATAATATATACATCAGCATTTCGTGTGTATTTTAGTCTAGACGCGATCAAATTAACCTTCGATATAACCCCCGAAGACTGCCGACGGTCACATAACCCGATATAAACATGAAAATAAATATAAATAGCGACCACGTGCAACTGGATTTTTCTAGGTCTTTTAATGACTGAACACGACTAATACATGCGTAACCAATCTCTAGCTAAGGGTTTAAATTGAAGCCAATGAAGTTCACATGAATACGGATTCAATGAGGTCGAATTATTTACTTGCAAGTGAATAATTCATTAGCGATGTTTTCTTAGCTTATTTTGACAAAATTGAACCAAATTGACTGCTAAAAGCGAATTATCATTTCACTATTTCACTTCCATTAATGATTGAAAAAAAAAATCATATTCAAATGCTTTGTATATCTCGTAGCTAATGCTCCTTTAATACCCATACGACTTTATGGAACATTGTCGAGTCCTCAAGAATATATGAAATGTAAGTACTACTTTAAAATAGGATTAGTGAGTGAAAAGTTGTCGATAATATTTCTGATATAATCAGGAAAGGAGAATAGAAATATATTAATTACGGTTGGTAATGAATGGATAATAAAAACAGACTGAATCTTTATTATCAACATATACTGACCTTCACCTAGATAACATGTCTTATATGGAACACCTTTTCCATGAACTGTATAAGGCGTGATGCTTATACAAATGTTCATCAGTGATAATCTTAATGAAGTTTCCGTACCAGCCAACGTAACATCTGAAGAAGAAAATAACGATTCCTCTATTTGTATTGTATTTTCTAGACATTGGTAAAAATGTTTCTCAAAATAAAAAGTCTGTTTTCAAATTATGTAGGTTAAAACACCCACTCCCCCTAAAAAATCATAAAAAAATACGCACACATACAAAACCACATAACATAAAAGTTTATCTACAGTTTTCAATAAAGTAATGGAGTACAAGAACATGAAGCCCGTTTTCTAGTTGTTTGGTGTTCTATGTATATCCTGTTTAAAATATTAGCCCTTTGTATGTCCTCTTTAAAATCAAGGACCTCGTCTACAGGAGTTTTATGAAATTTTTATTTCCGTGTATCATATTGAGATGAAAGACGAAAACATAATAAGATTTGCATACACTCATTTTAACAGTTAACTTTTATTCAATTCATTTTCCAAAACAATATCGGATGAATACGATATGCCACACTACAATGTTTATTTTTGCATCGGAAATAAACACATTTATTTTAAAACCAGTTGTTGGCATAATACGGGTTATGTTCTTCTCGTATAATTAATGATGACATGATACTAAACCCCTAATGGGAGGGATTGTGCTTGATTTTCATATGATGAAGACATAATCTTTCGATCAGTTTAATTGAGGTCTGGAACTAGCATGTCAGTTACTGCTAGTAGCACTTCGTTAATTCATATGTATATCATTGTCATTTTGCTTAGTTTCTTATTACTATTCTAACATCGGACTCGGACTTCTTTTAAGCAGAGTTTTAATGTGCGTATTGTTGTGTGTTTGTTTATAGCACATTGGCTAAAGGTATAGGGGGAGGGTTGAGATCTCACAAAACAAGTTTAACCTAGCCGCATTTATGCGCCTGTCCCAAGTCAGGAACCTCTAGCCTTAGACTTGTGTGATTTTTAATTTTGGTTCATTTACTGGTATATGTTTCGGAGTTAAGTGTGGCATCTATTTCGCTGAACTGGTATATTTATTGTTTAGAGGCCAGCTGATGCCCGACTCCGGGTGCGGGATTTTCTCGCCGCGTTGAAGACCAATTGGTGGCCTTGGGTTTTTTCTAATCTTTGGTAGGGTTGTTGTCTCTTTGACACATTCCCCTTTTCCATTCTCAATTCTTTTTAAAAGCGTCAAAACAACTAAGAAATAAAATTCTATATTAATTGGTATATTTTCCCTTAAATCTCTTTAACGAAAAATTAGTGTTTCGGGTAATAAGTGCGGTTTTATTACAAATTAGAAATAATAGAAATCCTTAACAACTTTGGAATATTCAGACTTCGAAAAAGAATATTGTCAGATGATTTAGTTGAACATAATTTAGTTAATGAAGTAAACTATGGAGACACTCTTTCCATTCTTTTTATAGCTTTCCCCTACTATATATAAATATATGATATTTGTCATACTTGTACAATATTTGTCTTCACATGCTGTTACTTCATATGCTTTTACTAAATTCTTGACTTCTGGAAAGTTACACTTTTCAAAGTACCAATAAACTTCAAGCTGTCTAAGATTTATAATGGGACGAAATACAACATCTAATTCTAAACTCAAACCTATAAAATAAAATAAAAACTATATGCAAGGGATTTGTTGGATGTTAGCACACATGTTAGCGTACTCATTATGCTTTCCAAGCGTACCGATGATAAATATATCACAATTTTCCTTTCTGTTTTAATTTATATGAGTGTGGATTCGCATGACGGGTGATGTCTACATAGTAGGAGACGCTAACCCTGGCCACGCATCTGGTCTTGCTCATTTTGGTATTCTTGTAATTCCCTCAGTTTTTATTTCTAACCATGATATGTCTACTTAATCGATTTATGAGATTTGACCATCGGGAGACTATTATTGCCTATATTTACACAAAGAAAAGTTTTTATTAGATATTGTATTTGACTATAAACACATGTAGTGAAGGAAAGTCAAATGATCTTTTCTCAAACAATGCACAGAACAGATGAAAATAGTTTTCAACAATGACTAAAATCAAGGTAAAAATAGTGATGTAGGGATATATACCACAATATATACTGGACATTTGTTTGTTAATATACTTACTGTTTCCAATAAAAACACAATCTGACCATACAAATCCTGACGTTTGGTTTAGATAATGATATGATACTCCTATTAAATACCGCACAGAATGATTGATGTCTGGGATATAGACGGTTGGATAGGTCGTATTGAACTCTACCGTTTGTGGTGACGTCTAAAATATATATCAATTACAATTTGTTGAAATAAAGAAAGTTTGAAAAAAGATGAATGTATATGAAGTCGACAAATGATAGGCACTTATATACTACCCAACTGTAAGAAATTGGAAATACAACCTGAAAGTCAACATTAAAACGGTTTAAATCTTCACTAGTCATATCATATGTAAAATGTAATTTGAGAAACATTTATTTAGATACTACAAAGTATCTGCATTTAATAAGACCTATCTACTAATATACATAACTGACGTGGGTCAGGTTCTGAATATGTGGCTTCACTGATGAATACAATTCTGCACATCTATTTTGCATCAATATCACCAGAAAGTAAAAATCCATAAAGATAAATATTCAGTGTCTATACGCAAATAATACCGGATGGTCTGGAGTTATAGATTCTAGGTCCTGACGTTGTGTAACATTTTATATACTTTACAGTTTTCCCTTTATTTTTCTTTGTAGTTGTATGTTCCATTTGGGCGTATGACTCAGAACGTTGCTCGGTATTTATGCATCCAGCTTTCGGGTTTTTGGCTTTAAACGGAAGGGGTTTTTTATAGTGATCTTTTCATTTTGTATACCCTTGTATTTATATTTTACTTAATTTATACTATATTTGGAAAGCGTAAATGTCATGTTTGATTATACTGTATGTAAATTCATCTACACACACTTTTTTGTTGGCGTCTTTGTCAGATTGATTTGTATGTTTATTTGAATTTTTCAAGTCAATTGTGCAGTCTGCCTATGATGTATTTTTACACAGTTTTGACTGCCGGATCCCAATTATGGTCACGTTAACCAATTATGTCTGTTTGGGTTGCTCAACCAATTTTGTTATACAAGTGGGAGGTTTATCTACCGATAAAACAAGATTTAACCAATTGTTTTCATCGGAAAATGCATGTACCAAGTCATGGATATGACAGTTGTTTTTTTCCGGTTGGTGGATATAGTCGAGCGTTTGGTTTTGTCAGGTTTAACAGACTTTCCTAATTTTGAATATACCTTAGAGATGGGTAGTTTTGATAAAAAAAAAATTATTAAAATATTTGTAGCATGTTATTTGTGTTAAAAACATTTATGATTCTATGGACATCATAAATTTGAGACTTTGGATATATGTTTTTTGTTATTTAGGTATTTGTGCAAGTTTCTTGACTGTCGACCAAAACAAAACAGTCTGTACAGTATATGTTCAGAAATTGTACCAACCCTTACCAAAAACAGTGTTACTGCCATTTTGATAGATTCGTCACTCTGAACATGTTCTGTCTTTAAAAAGGTTGTCATTCGTGCAGTTCAAATAAAGTTTTTTTATGAAGCCATATCACATTTAAAGAATAGTACAAACACATCTAATGCCCTCATTTCCTTTAAATACTGCATGTGTTGCCGTTTATTTTTGGTAATAGACAAATACTTGTAGTAATTCCTTTGTTAATAGACAAATAATTGCAGTTACCAAACAGAACTGTGGATTAATGTACGAAAAACTAATGAGATGAATTTGATCATTTGATAGTTTTATAATAATATCAATAAATTTGTTACCGCTTTGATAAACCTGAATTTATAAGTTAGGTGGAATCGATTTGAAAATACCGACAAGGGGTTGATTATTCACCAGTATACACGTATTTCATATTTTAAATTTGAACTTATATTATAAAATATTAAAAAATTAAAAAAAATAGGATTATGATATTTGTAGCATTATTTAATTTTCTTTTGTAGATTGTTCTATAGGATGACATGCGTTTCTTATATTTTAATAGATTATTAATAAATATCATATTTATATTGCAATCGTTCTATTTTTTGTGCCAATCAATTAATCAATCAATTAATTCTATTTATGTAACACAATGCGTTGACTGTAGGATTGTATGTGATATACAGGCACTGACGGACATAAACTCATTTCTCAAAATTTATCCCACAAAAATTATTGTTCTGGTTTTTATTTGTTGACAAAATTGTATAAATTGTTACGCTTATTGCAAATGGTTGGTATTCTTTTTCTGAAATCGCACTTATTTCCCTACTGCATGATTTCAACAAAACAACTTTTAAAACGTAAATTATTAATCCGCAAAAGTGATAAGGTTTATTCTAGGATGAACCTTGATAAGCAAGTTTAAAACTTATTTTTGAAAGCCATATTATGTCAAGTCACTACACTATTATTGTCTATGTTATTGTTTACTATGTATGATGAAAGATAATGTCGCATGACAAGATCTAAAACTTTATTGAAAGAGACAAGAATCAAATGGATTAGGTGGTGATTTATAGTCTCTAAAATAGAAATTCAATAGACTGGTAAATATATAATTTATGCTCGTTTGAACGAGGGGAATTAAAAAAAAACAAATTATATTTATTAAATTGCTTTACCAAAGATTTTCATTTTTTATTAATATGAAGCCGATCTCATACAAAACCTTCACAAAGACAAAAAGAAAAAGTATTCTTTAGTTTCACTTTCGGATATCATAATAGATAATGTCCTGTCATCCAATGATCCACATGTCATCTCATAAGTCGTAGTGATCTTGACATGAAAGAAACATCCGAAACTTGAAAATCTTTTTCATATCTGGTTATATTTTTTTTTAAATTGACACAGATGGACAATTGTAGGAATTGTGATGAATTATATTTTCCCATTGTTAATTTCCAATTTTTAATAGTGAGTGAAATACCCTCCACCCCTAGCATATGACGTTTGTGCTTCGTGCCAAATGTGAAGATCATTTCCTTTCATGTCATATAAATAAACAGTATAAAAAGAGTATTAACAAAAATACCGAACTCCATAGTAAATTAAAAAAAATCCCATAAAACGACAAAATCAAACGTTAGACTTTATCAACAACGGAACGAATGGAAAACAACTATCATATTCCTTATCTGGTACAGGCTTTTCCCGGAGAAAATGGTAGGTTAAATAAAATTGAGAATGGAAATGGGGAATGTGTCAAAGAGACAACAACCCGACCATAGAGCAGACAACAGCTGAAGGCCACCAATGGGTCTTCAATGCAGCGAGAAACTCCCGCACCCGGAGGCGTCCTTCAGCTGGCCCCTAAACAAATATGTATACTAGTTCAGTGATAATGGACGTCATACTAAACTCCAAATTATACACAAGAAACTAAAATTAAAAATGATACAAGACTAACAAAGGCCAGAGGCTCCTGACTTGGGACAGGCGCAAAAACGAGGCGGGATTAAACATGTTTTTTGAGATCTCAACCCTCCCCCTATACCTCTAGCCAATGTAGAAAAAACAAACGCACAACAGTACGCACAGTAAAACTCAGTTTAAGAGAAGTCCGAGTCCGATGTCAGAATAGGAAACAAAAGAAAATAAACAAAATGACAATAATACATAAATAACAACAGACTACACGCAGTTACTGACGTGCCAGCTCCAGACCTCAATTAAACTGATTGAAAGATTATGTCTTCATCATATGAATATCAGGCACAATCCCTCCTATTAGGGGTTTAGTATTATACCATCATAAAATATATGAGAAGAACATAACCCGTGTCATGCCAACAACTGGTTTTAGAATAAATATGTTTAATTCCGATGCAAAGACCCTATAAGTGAATCAATCTTAAAGCCAAAATATGCAATCTTTAATGACCTGACAACAGTATCGTAACTATATCCCTTCTTAATAAGTCTGTTTAAAGGTTTTGTTAGCTTTTGAGGTGAATACTGACATTTTTGTGCTTTGTAAAGAATATTACCATAAAAGATTGGATGTGAAATACCCGAACGTATAAGATGTCTGCATGTTGAGTTATATTTACGAATAATGTCCTTATACCGATGATAAAATTTTGTAAATGTTTTGACTAGTTTATGATATCGAAAACCCTGGTGTAATAATTTTTCAGTACTACATAAATTTCTTTCGCTAAAATCTAATACGTTGTTACATACACGAGCGAATCGTACAAGTTGAGATATAAAAACACCATAAGATGGTGACAAGGGAACGTCACCATCTAAAAATGGATAATTAACGATAGGAAATAAAAAGATAATCTCTTTTATCATAAATTTTTGTATTAAGCTTCCCGTTAATGATATAGATATCAAGATCAGTGGTCATTGTTAGTATTAGCTTTATTTAAAGTAAGTTCAACAGGATAAATTTCTTTAGTATACATACTGAAGTCGTCATTATTGAGAGCCAATATATCATCCAAATATCTAAAAGTATTGTTAAATTTTTGTATCAGATGTTGTTTCGATGGGTCTTTGCTGATTTTAGTCATAAATTGTAACTCATAACAATACAAAAACAGGTCCGCAATAAGTGGTGCACAGTTAGTCCCCATTGGAATTCCGACAACTTGACGATATACGGAATCTCCAAAGCGAACAAAAATGTTATCAAGTAAAAATTCAAGGGCAGATATAGTATCAAAGCATGTCCAATTGACATAGTTCTTTTGTTTGTTGCTACTGAAAAATGACCCAAAAGAGTTTGAACATATGTATACCGACTTTTTAAATGCCCATTTAATTAGGTGTGTGAATTTTTTCTTAATAAGAATATGAAGCAAAGTGGTATATAGGGTAGAAAAATCAAAACTTTAAACAGATTCAAAATCACCAATATATGCCTTGTTTTATAGATAGCAACTTGTATGACAGTTGCTTATAGTTCCATTATATAGACAAAATTGGGAGATCAACCCAAACATACATAATAACTTATATTATCACCTTGAGTCTGGTACGTATCAAGGTGTAATACCACCATTGATTTTCCCCTATTAGTGTTTGTTAAATTTGCACTTTTCAAAAAAAATGTGCAGATTTTATCTTTGTTTCAAATAAAGAAATACTTGGCATGAGTAAAGTTTTATCTTGTCCAGTACTAAAGAAAAAATTTCACATAACATTTCATTGCATATAAGAAAGTAACCATCACTGGAAGTTAACCAATCAAATTTCTCCCTTTTTTAACCTGTGTACAAGCTTTAGTAACCATGTAACCTCAAGTTTCCAAATTATTCTATAAAAACCCAAAATAAAAAAATAATGGTGCTTTGAAATACCAAAGATATATGTTTATGACCCACAAATGTTTTACTGCAATGAAATGTAGGATGATTACCGGCAACTGTCAAATTCAAGGGAATATTTTTTTTCGACCTATTTTCGTATGCAACCGGATGTGACGTACTATGATTTGGTGGTATTACACCTCAATGACGGGTTTATTAACAGTCGAATAATAAATACGATTATTTGATTAAACGAAAGAGCTACTAAATTATTCTCAACAATTTTATTGGTTTCTGTGGTAACGGATTCTTTTTTCAGATTAAATTGTAAAAGATCCTTCAACTTCTTGTCCTGATATAACTAAATCTATATTAAATGATATAATATTACCTTGCAGACCAAACTAAACGCCTGTTCACACCAAAATAATGAGTATTTTTTACCAAGTTGATGGGTTAATGGCAACCATGAAATGTTATATCTTTGGTCATCAACTTTAACCATCACGGAGTTATGTATTAAATCTGTAAATAGATAAAATTATGTATTCGTGCATAAGATTTTTTGTTTTATGTTTTAAATCTACTCGATGAAAGGGTATCTCCACCACATTCATGACTATTTACTTGAAGTTCTCGTTCATCAAATTGAAATTGCAAAATCACGTTTTCTTTTAGATGTCTGCAAAAAGTACAATAGCAAAAACACCGAATTTCAAGGAAATTCAAAACGGAAAGTCCTTTATCAAGTGGCAAAATCAAAAGCTTAAACAGATCAAACGAATGGAAAACAACTGTCATATTCCCACCATTTTTTCTTTAAATGTCCTGTACCAAGTCAGGAATATGGCAGTTGTTATCAAATAGTCCGTTTCTATGTATGTTGGCGTTTGTTTTTGTAGCAGTTCGGTGTTTATGTTGTTCCGGTGTTTTCCTCTTATAGTTGATGTGTTTCCCTCCGTTTTGGTTTGTGATCCGGATTTATTTCAGTTAAATCGATTTATGACTATTGAACAGCGGTATAGTACTGTTGTCTTTATTGGTAAAGGCATTTCCTTAGGTAGAAAATGGTGGATTTAACCTGATTTTATAGCTAGCTAAACCTCTGACTTGTAAATATAGGCAATAGTATGACAGTTGCATAGAATTCCATTATTGCAACATTGCATTTCGAAAAGGTCTCGTAATTTATTTAAATACACATGATTCATACCTTTGTTTCCCACCAATAATTTAGAGTGTTGTTGCGACAACCCTTTTTCGTTTTCTGACCATACCAAAACAGAGAGTTCAGCAGTTTCATTTGTTTTAAAACTGAAAGAAAATTTCCTTGTTTCTTCTATTTGGAATGAACTATCATTCGGAAATATTTTCACTCTGTATGAAATTCTTTCCCCACTCCAGTTGTTTTTGTTCAATGGCTGCATAATAGATAAAATGATAAAATTGTGAAAAGATAAAATAACAAAGTAAAGGAAAACATGAAAAATAGACATTCTTTGCTGAACAATTTCCTTTAAATTAATTTTGATGTTTCGGACTCGCTCAGTAAAATCCCATTGCAAACCAGACAAAAGCACGATGTTTAACCTGGTTTTAACATTTAATATATTTGACACAACCATAGCAAAAGCCACTCCAAACCCGTTATAAATATTGCAAAATCCTAAATTTCTTGATTTACATTTATAAAAGTTTTGATGTTTTAGAGAATACGTTTTGAACTGCACAGATAATCTTCGTATAAAGAATGTTTTGTAAATATCTCTTCTATAAAGATATATTATACATTAGGGAAAATAACTGAAACTGTAGTTCACTCATTCTGTGCTTTCGAATACCATCTAAAGGCATACATATGATGATATCACATATAACTTATTACTAAGTGTATACCATCCAGTATATTGTTGTGATTCGTTCGCTGGACGACCTAGTAGTTTGAATTGAATAACATCCATCATAGATCAATGGTGGAGTGGAGGGCACTGTAAGAAAATAAATAGTGTTAAAGTTTTTGTTTATATTCACATTAAACGATTATATTTAAAACAAAAAAACCAATCTTTTACAGACAACTAGAATTACGATAAATCAATTAAAGTTCATTATTTATTTGAAAATAAATACAATATAAATAATGCGCAACTTTTGAAAAATAAAAAAAAAAACAGAAAGTTAAATGTGTCACATATCCATAAATAAATTATAAAAATGTTTACATTCTGTTTCTATCTGTACAACCAAACCGACGGATTTATGCCGAAATGATTAAAAAACGGAACATTATACTTTAATTATTATATTTTTGCAAAGAGTGGAATAACTAACGACAAAATTCACTGATCGCTTTAACGATACATTTCGGATGAAGTCAATTGAAATGAATCTCGTTTTAGGTTATGTTGGAGAAATGAGATATTTTGTTTTTTTTCGTGTTTTATATATATTGTTTTAAAAACGTATGGTTTTTACTTTGTCGGTCCAATTTATGTTTAGTTTCTGAAACAGTTAACTAAAGGCAACAGTAGTATACCGGTGTTCAAAAGTCATGAACCGATTTAGAGAAATCAAATCCGGGTTACAAACCAAAATCGAGGGAAACACATCAATTATAAGAGGAAAACAAAGGAACAACAGGAACAACAAGTGCAACAAAAACAAACTCCAACACAAATAGAAACGAACTATTTGATAACAACTGCCATATTCCTGACTTGGTACAGGACATTTTAAGAAAAAAATGGTGGGTTGAACCTGGTTTCATGGCATGCCAAACCTCCCGCTTTATGACAATGTTAAAAAATATCGCGAAAACACTACGTGACAGAAATACAGCACAAACACACGCAAGAACATTCATAACAGAGAAACGCACAAACAAATAATATAATAGTCGACACAACATACAAACCACAGAACAACAACGAACATATTCTCCATCAACGAAAAACACCACATGATATCAAAAACAGTGACGCGCTTACTTAACTAACATGCAATCTGGAACTTTATACAATTAATTTCACAATATTGGTCCAAACAATTTATCGTTATGGTTTGTTATTCAATTATTTTTATATAGACAAGCAAAATTTCCTGTAGACATGATATCATATGATTTATGTAAAGCATTAACCTACCATCTTTGGAAGTCGTCAGGGTGGTATTAAATCCATCACTCCAGAAGCCATTATCTAAAGGCTTACAGTTAATGACTATACCATACTCTGTATACTTAGAAAGTCCGTTTATGGTGATGTTTATATGGTTTAAAGAATAGATAACGAAATATCCATCCGCATAACTTTGACTTGGTAAAGACGTAACATTAAATGATATCTAAAAATAGATAGTACAACAATTAAGTTTTTTTTTTCATGAAAATTCATAAATTGCATTAATATTACTAAATTAAAATTTAGTACTATTTTGATTAATATTCAAATTAATTCAATAACGACATTAGTGTGCAAGTTTGCAACAAATGCGCACATTAATATTTTTATTGAATCGATTCGCGCTAAATTGCTGTTAATTCTGAAAATATCAAACAATCCTATTTATTAAAAATATAAACTGCAAAAAACTGCTCATCACAAATAACATACCTAATTGTTTTATTTCTAATATAAAGCAGAAACAACTCTTATGAACCAAGAAATGTCTTATCTTAATTAAAAATGCACAGTAGACACAAAAGATATTACACAGTTTGTCACATGTGTAAATAAGATTATATTAAGAAGTCTTTTAGAAATGCATTATAATTTGATAAGTTGACAGAATCTACCTAAGTCTCCTAACGTAAGACAAACCTCATCAAAATACCAGGCCTATATTAAGTGATGCACGTACATGTAAAAAAAAAAAACTCTTCAAATATACCAGGTTTATAATTTTGTACGCCAGACGCAAGTTTTGTCTACAAAAGACTCATCAGTGACGCTCAAATAAAAAAAATTAATATGTTTTTTACTTTGCCATATTTTACCACGAGAAACATTAATCTTCGATAATTTAGGTTGATTTTAAAGAATTCAAACTTAAATCTAAAATCTAAAAATGATTTTCACTCCAATAAATGTTAATTTGTATATCAGAAATATAGAATAATATTTGGAATATTTAATTTTTATAAGATTTGTGCCTGCTAGAAATTTGTCTAGACATATGTTTGAACATTTCTTAAATTATGAGTGTTATCATATGAATGTCTGAAATGTTCAAAACTAAAGTGTTTTCGAAATTCTATACTTGATGTACCTTTTAAGATACCAAAACTTATTCTTTTCTTCTTTTTATGTGTCTCTTTGGGGTATTCCCAAAATAAACTGACCAGAATTTCTTATATTTGAGCATAAAATATATCTACACCTTTTAACTTCTGTTACTAGTTTTCAAAACGACATTATATGTATTGGGGCCGTACTAACATGACCCGTATCGTGCATTTAGGTTTTTGTAGCATGCGTATAATTTCTCTTTCGGTGGAAATGACATTACAAGAAACGAAAGAGTAAGTTCATCAGTTCATATAAATACTAAATGATGCATTTTAAATATCATCGCATTTAAAGTAAGCGAATAAATTGCTTAAAGAAGTCTTCAGAATTGTTGTATTTTCATAAAATATAATAGAATAGTAGTCTTGAATTTTGAAAAAAAAATCAATTGTTATAAGTAATGAAAATATTAAAGGAAAAGAAAGAAGCACGAAGAAGAGAGGAAGTTAAAAACAGTATTAAGATTTATAATAAATTGTTTCTAGTTTTCAAAACGAAAAAAGCATTATGTAACAGTAAAAAAGCTAGCATTGATATTTGCTTTATGATTAGATCTATGAAGACTACATAAAAACTTTCACATAGTCATTTGCATATAGCATAGCACAAAAGATGATTAAATCAACGAACTATTTCATCATATTTTGCTTTGTTAAGCTTACCCTTGATACTAATTTTCCACTCCTCGTTATATTGACTTGAAATGACTTATTATAATATACTTTGTTCTGCGGCCATTGAAGAGTTGCAGACGTTGAGTTGATAACACGAATCTCAATTTGACGAATGGGACTAGGTTTTACTAAAATAAACCAAGATGCAGAATAACATTGATTTACGAGATATTAAAATTTGACTAAAGTCCTTGACTCACTACACACACCTGCATCTGCACAAGATAGGCGAAAGATACCAAATAGACATTCAAACTCATAAATTAAAAATAAACTGACAACGCCATGGCTAAAAAAGAAAAAGACCAACAGACAAACAACAGTACACAAAACACAACAAAGAAACTTAAAGACTGAGCAACACGATCCCCACCAAAAACTGGGGGTGATCTCAGGTGCTCCGGAAGGGTAAGCATATCCTGCTCCACATGTGGCACCAATCGTGTTGCTCATTTTAGTACTACAAAACTGGTAATAAGTCTTATTCGGTAGGTCATATTCGGGGAAAGGGGGACGCGATTGTAGTTACGACAATAGGAACATATCCGCTATCATCTGTGAAACGGATATTCCATAACGGTCAACCAACTCGTGATGGCGTCCGTAAAATTTACGAAGGGATGACTTCAGCTTCACCACTTGAAATTCTTGCTTTAATAGCTTCCTTGTGAGCAGCATGTGTTAATTTAAGGAACGACAGTTATTACATGACTTAAATATTTTCTGTTATTCTCGACGACATATACCTTTGGAATTGTATAAAATTATCAGAAATAGATAGTTTATTAATTTACATGTAATCCTTTGCTTGCTTTAAATCCTAACAAAAGCCCAAACAATCATTGGATATTGAATTTCCAATCACGAACGATTTTGTTAACAGTATCCATAGGCTTTGATAATATACAGAGAAACGACTAAATCTAACTAAAAAAGGGAACAGTAGTATACCGCTGTTCGAAATTCATAAATCGATTGAGAAAAAACAAATCCGGGTTACAAACTAAAACTGAGGGAAACACATCAAATATAAGAAGAGAACAAAGACACAACAGAAACACTAAAATGAAACACACACAGAAACGAACTATCAGATAACAATAGTCATTTTCCTGACTTGGTACAGGACATTTTAAGAAAAAATGGTGTACCTTAATACGAAATTGCAAACATTTGAATTTAAGTAAGTGTGAAGATTTTAAGCAAATTGCCCTGGCGGAGGTAAATTTCAAGGATATTGGCCATTTTCTCTTTGAAATTGCTGCTTTCAAGAAAGGAAAGATTTTTTTTGGAATATGTGTCACAGATCATCTGGAATTGTTCCATTTGTTGTAGCCACAATCCCGTTATATTTTCCTCGACTACGACATTACCGTATGCGATTGATCACTGAGAAATCTTTTACTTGTCACGAACAAAATGACGATTGCTACTAGTAGAACAAGAACTGCTTACCCTTCAAGAGCTGCTCCTTAGTTACCCTTGCTTTTGTTTTAAAGGGATTCATGTAGCGTTTGCTTTATATTCAGTTCTACATTGTGTGCAATTTTGTTTTAGAATGTCCTTTTTATCGGTAACAGTTACAATTTCGCTTTCAAATAACTGTTTTTTTTATCGGCAAAAGTATGGTCTACCCTTTGTCCTTGGCAACGCCGTGTTCGTTTTGTAGGGGTTTGTGTTGCTAAATATTTAGTATCTGTGTGATGTATTGTCCACTTGTTTATCTTTTGGGGGTTTTCTTCATTGTTCTTACTTTAGCCTTTTTGTATTACCCCAATTATCATTTTCATAAAGATAACATACATGTTGTAGAATGTAAGAAAAAGCGAACATATTTTTGTGTTCGATATATAAAAAATGGACTATTCTATCATTTAAATTTCATAAAAGTCAAATTTCCTCACGTCTTCATCTTGATCTTCACGTTTGAGTTTGTAAGAGTTCATCAACTTTCGACATTATTAAGACAATTGTCTTGGAAACTTTTATGAAATGGAAAGCTTTCTGCATCATGTTTAATAATAGATGTCTATTTCAAAGCTTTTGTTTGTAGTTTTGGATTAATCTGCAATGCATAGAAGGCGCAATATCAGGAAATACAAATTTTTTGCGGCTTTAAATGCGACATCATCCAGCTGTTTTTGTTTTATTAACATCATATTTGTTCCTTAAAGTGACCGTATAATGACCATACTTAATATAAAATGTTAATCATAATATCATATTAATTTCAGTGTTAAAGAAAACTTATTGATTTAAAAACGTTTTGTTATAACTACTACTTAAGAGCTAAAATTGACCAACCTTGACTTTGAATGTCAACAAGAACGCAGTGACGTTTGTCACTCTGAGATAACTTGATGCAAACGTTGTATTTTATGTCACCGTCAATGTCTTTGGGAATTATCCATTTACATGATTTGTTTCCTAAATCTGGACAATCGTTCCAAGCTGATGAACCCAATAAGTGCCTTAAATAAAATCGATTTATATTATATTTTATTATATATTTTATGAAAAAGTTTTTTTTTGAATTTACATATGTTAGTCTCTTAACATGTACTTACAAAATGAATTGAATTGATAAAAAAGGTCATTTAATTAAGGTACTAAGTTCCATTCTCAATAGATGATCAAATTCATCATAACAGCTACGTATGTCCACAAATGTTATTCATTTTAGCATATATAATATACAAAATATATGAAAAGACTTGACATGAAATAAACGAAACAAAATGAGCGCCTTGAATACAGTACCGTTAATGAATACGAAATTACATAATATGAAGTTATGATTGTATGTTAACACTCTTTGAAATCTTTGAAAACTTATTGGAAAAGGCTACAATTTATTCTGAGATGAGCTTCTTAATACCTTTAATTTTTAAGATAATATCAAATGTCAATGTGTTTTTCTGTGTAAGTGTTTAAAGTGTTAAAAGTTATCTACAAGAAAAGATGTAAATAAAAATGAACATGACCGAAATTGTTAATCGACTTCTTGTTTAATGGCTTTAATGACGATTTTTATTCTTTACTTGCGGTATTTGGCAATTATCTTGAAAACTGTTAAAGAAATTAATGAGAAACTGTAAGCAGTAAATATGATCAGCAAACTAAGAATTTTGAATAATACACTTTGCAATAATAAAAAAAAGGAAACGCATAGATCCGATTCTTTTAAATACAATTATGTCAATAAATAATTAGATGTCAAATTATCAATAAGTTAAGAAGTGAATTATTCAAGATGTATTAAATTACAAAATGCCGGTGTGATCAACTGTGCAAATCGCCGAGTGCATTTTTCAAGAACTGAAAATTAAAGATTTTAGACAAATTATTTATGTACTCCGCGGGAAAACTTGTGATAAAATCACCGGTGCAACTAATATGTATTTGACTTAAATGCTGAACACGCGATAGTCATTACAAATGTAAAATGCTGCTTTGCCAAAACTAAACCCTGCTACACATTACAACGTCATATGCCGTCATCAGGTCATGGTATGTCATGCATCACTTCTAAAGCCGAAGAGTCAATGCTACAACCACCGCTGCTGGTATCCAAGGTTAACGGAGATTTACACACTGACAGTTTGTAAAACAGGCTTCGTCAACGAGAAATTCGGCCAAGAGGATTTTATGATAGACTTGTTTTGATGCAGGTACCCAAACATGAACGTGCTTTGGTATCATACATTCAGGGTCTGACAATCATAATAGACAGAGAGAAAATGTAAACAGTAAGATGTGATCTACAAATAATCAAATTAAGGAAATTGCCAATTGACTGCTGTTATCCTACAAATAAATCACACTGTCAATTGCCTTCAAGTATGAGTTTTTATCCTTTGATAACAATTTTTACCCACTTTTGCCAATTTTTGTAATTTTCTTGAAAACTGTAATAGATAGAGAAAACTAGAGGCTCTAAAGAGCCGGTATCGCTCACCTAGGACTATGTGCAAATTTAACAATGGACACTCTCAAACCTTGTAGTGTTCAATTATAATTCTTTTTTGTTTATCTTGAATTGCTAATATTTTTTTCTGTTAACAGTTCTCTCTATCCTCTCTAGTTTTTTGCACAAAACACAAGACAGGGTAAAATTCGTCATTTAAAGACAACAGCTGCGATTAGAAGACAACTGGCATCTATGCTGACTTATTTTCAGATCTTGTCTTACTGATAATTTTTTTTTCTTTTTAATGTGCCTATTTATCTATTATAGTTTTTAAAGATAATAGGCAAAAGGACAAACAATTGGTAAAAGTTACCATTAAAGGGCAATAACAACTCCAATAAGACTAGATCTTGTCTTGCTGATCAATTTCTAATTACTGTATCATTACTGTTTCTCTCTATGTATTGTTGTTTTCAAGACAATCGACAAACTTCGTCATAAAATGGCAATAACTCCAACAAGGAGTGGAGAGACGATTTCGACCATTTGAGTTATTTGTAAATCTTGTCTAGCTGATCAATTCCGACATTACAGTTTCTGTCTATGTATTGCAGTTTTCAAGAGGCAAATACTTTTAAAAAAGGTAAGAATTGTCATTAAACGGCAATTACTCAAATAAGGAGTCGAGTGACGATTTTGGTCATTTGAGTTATTAGTAGATCTTGTTTTGCAGATCAGTTGTGCGTTTTAAAGTTTCTTTGTATCTATTAAAATTTTCGAGATAATAGGCGAACACGAAAAAAATGGCAAGAATCGTCAAAACTTTTAGGAATTTTTGGTCCTCAATGCTCTTCAACTCCGTAATTTATTTGGCCTTTTTAACATTTTTTTATTCGAGCGTCACTGGTGAGTCTTTTGTAGACGAAACGCGCGTCTGGCGTAAATATAAAATTTCAATCCTGGTATCTATGATGAGTTTATCATTAAAGGGCAATAACTCTAATAAGGAGTCGACGTACAATTTCTACTATATTGAATTATTTATAGATCTCGTCTGTCATCTGATCATTTTTGTTATTTATTGTATGGTTCTTTCTACTATAGTTTTCAAGATAGTAGACAAAAACTAAAAATATTGGTAAAAATTCGTCATTTAAGGACAATAACTCCTTGAAGGGGGCCGGATTAGGTAGTGTTACATCTTACAAAGACTATCCAAATTTATTTTTGCAAAGAATTCCACTCAAGCCGGTGCTAGGGGCCGTCTTAAACTTTCAGTGAGGTGAGAGTTTTTTTTTGGCTCCGTGTTGAAGGCCTTACTGTGACTTTGAGATGAAGAACAGCAATAAAAACGCTGTTCCTTTGCTTATTGTGTGATTTTTTGCTGTGCATGTACTGATTTTGTGTCATGGATGGATACCCCATATACTTTATTTTTCTATTACATATTTGATATAGATAGACAATAGGTAGACCTCAATATTCTGAATATATTTGCCCGTCTATTTTCTATCTATAGGGGTTTTCAAGATAATTGACAAAACTAGCATTTTTCCCTATATGTTCTATTTTTAGCCATGTGGGCCATGTTGTTTTGCAGGCGGAGTCATCGGACAATTTTTTAACTTAATACTCTAATGATGATTGTGGCCAAGTTTGGTTAAATTGACCCAGTGGTTTAGAGGAGAAGATTTTTGTAAAAGTGAATGAACGAAGGACGACGACGATAAACGACGGACGCTAAGTGATGAGAAAAATTCACACTGGTCCTTTTGACCTGGTGAGCTTTATAAAAGCCAAATGATCACCTAGATAAAATCTGCAAATAAGAAAACATAACCGATTGCTATTAAATAGACATATCTTTACAACGGGAACGATTTAGGCATTGCAGAGACTTAAGTGTTTTACACCTGTTTAAAGAAAATTGACGTCATAAAAATTGAATTACATGAATATTGAGATTCAACTGTTATTATATGTTCATCCCAGTTTATTGATTGCTAATATATGTTCATACTAAGACTTTTATACTGTGTAACATACACTTACCATTTTACTGTGACGTTTGGGCTGTTAAATTTGGTACTATAATCCCAACTGCAGAGGACGTATTCTTCCCAATCGAATGTAAAACAGGAGACATTATGGATTGTAGTATCGTTACCTGTCAATATGAATTACATGTACTAGTACTGTACTGATCATTCATACACGCGCGCTCGCGATATGAAATACTTTAACATGCATATCACATATCATATAAATCAACAGTAAAGGGCAAAGTTTCATCAATTCATTTTATTACAATTATTCAACTAAACAATCTAGCGATGGTGTTCAAGCAGTCACTAGATAATGATAATATATATTTGAATATCGGCTGATAATTTCATAAAATTGTCAGTATGATATTAGTTATGATGATAATGAAATAAGACTTTTTTCGAAGAAACATTGAGAAAAAAGCGACAACACAGGGTATATTTCTACCTGAAACATTAAAATAAAATACTAAGTCAATTAAATACATCTTCTGTAACTACATGGTCACATCAACACAATACAAAACCTCATAAGGTATTTATAACTTATACTAAACTTTTCATTATCTTATATCCATAAGTGTGTTATGTCAATATCTCACCAACCTGCACTAACAGCAAGGACATGTCCTAGTACTATATTTAAAAACGAACCAATCGTAGTCAGACTATAGAACAGGACACCTGTCATCTGCTTATTGAGAAGTCCAATCGTAGTGAACAACACTGCATATCTAAAATTTATAAGAAATATTTTTGTTAAACTGTCTTTGTGAATAACTTTTTTTGTGGCGTTTGAAGATAGTTTAGTTTTGGACTTGAAACTTGATTAAACTTGATTTTTTTTTCAAATTAACAATTACATTTTGATTTTTAGTATATTTTCATGTAGCAATATTATACAGATATACAAAATAACTTAAATTCGTCGTTTTATAATTTTATGATGATAACAATATGCTTGCATCCACAAAAGTGTATGATATAATTTCATCTGATCAACAGTCAAATTGTTGGTTTGATTCTACGATATAATAGTATGAGTATAATGATTTTGAGTAGAATAATGGATCGTTGTCAATTGTTCGTTGGCTTTTTTCATCACAAAATCTTCATCTGATAAAGAAAAATTCTCATTCTGAGATACCGTAAAGAAACGGTCAAATCTGGTGAAAATAAGAAGAAAGATACCAATGGGCAGTCGAAAATCATACAGTATCATTGTCACAAACAAAACACTTCGAAAAGAACAACAGCAATAACAAAAGATTACACAGAACACTTAAGAGTGAGCTACAACAACCCCAGATAAAACAGGAGTAAACTCAAGTTCTGTAAGAGAAAACATCAAAGACATCGGGAAGTAGCAATCAGGCATGGGATGATCGTAATCAGTAATCATATTCAGCTGTAATCGATTCCATTTTGCAATGTAATCCCATGTAATCAGTAATCATTTCTGATCACATGTAATTGTATTTAATCGATTACAATGTAAAAAATACTGGTGAAATCATGATTACCTTTAGATTACATTCATATGATTACTCACTGATTACAAATTTTGTATACAGTTCACTAAATGAATTTACCGTCTAAATGTGTCAATGTGAGATTTAGTCTTTGTGATACAAGAATACGATTAGAAAACATATTGTCTTCACTGATGGAACCTTCTGATATAAATTCCAATGTTAGATTACAAAACATTTGGTTATAACTTCATGGACATTCAATAGCAAAGAACATTATTTTGGAGGATTTTAATCTTATTTTGACTTCGATAATCGACATAAATGAGCTCACTTAAATAATAGTGGAATTTATATATTGAAAATGTTCATAGACATACTGAAAATAAACTACTTATAACTTAATTAATTATTACAATTTAGAAAGTTAAGTTATAGATAATGCATATTTTAAGGTTTTTCTTGTCGTAGAACACACCGAGGGGTGTCAGGATTGATCAAATGAAAGACCGACCGTAGGGAGGTCTTTCTTTGGGCAATCCTGACACCCCCGAGGTGTGTTCTACGACAAGAAAAACCTTTAAATATGCATTATCTGACTTATATACCGTCAAAAAAATATTGTTTTTTATAAAGATTTGCAAAATTTAGCATCCTATTTTACCGACCACACTAAAGTGGGATATTCCTTTCTAATGCGTTCAGGTTTTAATACGCCCTACGGCTCATTTAGAAAGTGAATAAAACTCACTAATTAATCTAGATATAAACCTTAGAAATTATTATTCATACACAATAAAAATATCACTGTAACTGCATGAAGTAAGACACAAATGAATTGTTACCATCTGATAACGGTGTATGAAAAATACAAGACACTTTGTAAGTAATTTATTGTACCAACTTAGTTTATGGAAAGGGGAGGTGCTATGTTTTTTTTTGTCTATTTGTAATGACATTTTATCGCGGAAAAGTGATTATTTTTTCAACAGTTTTAATTGAATCGAATGAAATATTCAGAGTGATTTTCTTTTGAATAGCAATACATTTTTTTAACAGATAATCAGGATATAATTATATACCCTCCCCCCACCCGACCTCATTGTGAGGTACGTGAATGTTATTCAATAGAATATAAGAATATTTTATTAGTTAATCATTTGATAGAGTAAAAGTTATACATAAATGTAAAAAAGTTAAGAACTGACACGAAGGGGGCACGAAATCGTGATACACGTACATGTTACACGAAAACGAATATCAATACATGTAGGTCACAGTATGATTTCCTATTCAGTGTGTATTGTCCTGAACATGCATGAAATATTTGCCACTGGACATTAAGTAACCATCAATCAATCAACCTATTCAGTGTGAATCAATAAGATTTTCAAAATCTTACACACGAATTTGTTAAATCTGGCTTTATTTTAAAGTGTTATGACAGTTTTACATTAAAATTCATCTCGCATATATGATAATGTCTCTGTATTGTAGCGATAAATTAGCAAAACTTCACATTATTTGTTTCTTAAATTAAAATTCGGGCAATTTTTTTACACCTATCATAGATTGAACTTTAAAAAATAATTTCCCAAATCGGCAACAGAAACTATCAGACGAATATAATTTTGAAGTAAATTATAGTTTGCATTTTTATCAAGGAAAATAATTACCTCACAAAGGTCATTATTTTATGCCTTGGAGCATATTTCATTGAAACATGGTATCGTCCGGGTTGATTCTTCGAAAGAATGACCTATCGTTCTGAAAGAAAATAACTCCATAAAGGTATATAATTTTTAATACCCAAGCTCATCTATTGTTTGTCCAAAAAATTGATTTAGTGATTAAAGAGACATTAGCTGTCAAATTCGTGTTCACCGATTTGAATCAAATTCTCATATTTTATTAATAATGACCAAATGGTTCAAACTTGTTACACTTTCAATGTTGACATACTTTTCCTTTTAATAGCTGAATACATGTGTAATCCATCTCCATTTAAGGGGTTTAATTGAAGGTCAAAATTTTGAAGAGAGGACATTCTTGAACTAACATTTTTTTTTGGAAATCAATGTACTTTGTATTATCGTACAAGGTTCTTTGTAAAGCAATTATTCAAGTTGAAAACCCATTTTTTAATAGCAGATAATTACAAAATTACTCTATTTTTTTTTAACAAAAAAAGAGATATATTTTAAACAGTGTTCAGTAAATTTAAAAAGACTGGCCTCGGATAGCAGATATTTTTCTTCAATAATTGGTACAAGTTTTATAGTTTTTGAGACTGATAATTACATACACTAGACTTGTTTGTCCTTCAGTATTACAAAAAGTAATAATAAAAACAAGAATTAAAAAAATAATATCAAGCACCATAACAAAAATGGACGAAACTATCACAATCAATTAAGGAGGTAATACGTGCAGTTGTAAAGATTTGGTCATCTGAAAAAAGTAGGTTAAAATTGTTTGTATAATGCAAGATATCATATGCAGTTAAATTGTCCTTTTTCCACGAGCTGATCATATCAGGCTACGATTGTTTATTGAATGTGCACATAAGAACTTCAATGAAACAAGAGTAACTTGAAAACAAATCACTTACAAGGTCATGCTACACTGTTATGCGGAATATGTTTAAAAAAAAAAACAAAAAATAACAATTAGAAACGCAGTGGGAAGACCTTAATGAAGTTAAATTCACTTTCTAGGTCATGTTACACAGAAATATGACTCATGCATGTAGAATGTTTTATTTTACTAATCCCCAAGATCAGTTCCTAAAATTGGACAATATAAATCGTGTACATATTTCCAAAGAATTTGACAATCTATGTTTTGTTTCAAACTAAAGATACAACGGATACTATATTCAAAATTCAGATTAATTCGTTCAAGGGACGTCTTCTAAGCATTCCCTATTTAACTGCCTAGAGGCTAACAAAACAATTATACTTCCGATGGTATTTTTAACCTTTTCCACACATTAAATTATCTTAATCAATTGCAGTATAACACACCAATAAAACATTGACCGTATAGTTGACGAAAGTCCTTATAAACTCTCCCAAAAAAAGAAGCGCAACAACCATTTTTCTTTCTTCAAAATATGAATTTTCTAATATATTTGTGTGATTGAGACATGCAAACATGATCATGTTAAAATGTTAAATGACCGGTAATTGAATTTAGACTTCTAATAGTGGTTGCTAATCACAAGTGACCTTTTCGGGTTAGTATGTGTAACGCTGCAGTAGGAAGACGTACTGGAATAAAATTCTGTCCGTTATGTACCTCCGTAGAGAAGTTTTTCAGACCAACAAAAACGGCAGGCTGCACACAGCCCGTGAAACTGCTGACTTTCTTGTGGGATGATTTGGAAAAAAGCGTGCGCAGTCGTCATCCAGTGCAGTATACTCTATAAGAACTGAAGCAGAATTCTGCAAGATGGTATTCGATGGATCGAGTTTAAGCAGAGACGGGTCCGTGCTGTGTTACAGGCTAATGGTGGGCACAACATATATTGACTTTAAGTGACATCATCTGAACGCTATGGACTTTTATGTAGTAAATTCTAATACATTTTAAAGTCTGAACAACCAGTGAAATATGATATCAGTGTGTAAGATGATGTTGAAAATAAGTAAATTATATTTTTTCATATGTTGCGTGTCTTATGGGAGAGTATATTGCGTCATATAAACTGGTTAAAGAGCAAAAATTAGTATTCATTTAGGAATGATGATGATGTTCCTTTCTTTTAATTGCAAACAGAGATATTAGTTTATAAGTACAATTTCAAGAATGAGATGTGAGTTTGAACCACATTCGACTACGATCTTAATTGACTATGACTGTTAGTTGTTCCTGTCGAAGTCTGGGGGTTTTACCCCGAGTACGCGAGCTTCATATTTCATACTATAGCTAAATGTTATAAAAGTGGCATTAGCACAAACAATCAAATAATCAATGGACATATAACTACACAACATCGTTGCATTCACACAGAAAAGAACAAAAGGGTATGAATAACTTACAAATAGATCAAAGGTTACTCGAATGAGGAAAAAAGTAGACAATTTCTTCATACTTATTCTTATACCTATTTAGCTGAGAGTGTTTGCTTGTCGATATGTCTACGTTTGACAAATACAACTTGATGACTATAAAGAATTTCAAAGAAAAGAGTGAAATCTCCTGCTTATATTTCAAGACTGAAATAAATGCTTCAACGTTTTAGAATTGCAACCTTGACTTCATATTTTCTGTGTTTACGTCATCATAAATAAACATAATCAACGAACGGCCCTTACGTACACCTCAGAAAATTGTAAATCTGTATTCTCTGATTATTTTCCTATCATATATTGGATACAAGACTTGCACAATAAACATATACCATTAAATAACTGTGTATTTTACAGGCCACACTAACATCTTTTGGAAGATTCTTACAGCTGTTTTTTTTTCTGTAGTTGAATAATATATATCTTTACCAGGGGATATATCTACTGTGGTTTCCTTAATATTGGAGATATTAGCTTCAATCACAGACACTCAATTTTAGCAAACATTTGATTTTGATATATTATACTATTCCATTCTTCAATCTGAATTAAAAACAAATGTCTATAAAAGGTGGGAATAAATTAAACAGAAACAATCAAAGATATAGAATTAATACATCCATTCAGTTTTGATATACACAGCGGGATTCACGGCTTCCTCTGCCTCGTTTTTAGACTTATACCTCGAATTTGACATAAGCGGTCATCTCAGTACCATAATCAAACGAGACGATTTTAATTTTGAAATTATAACCTTAGCAGTAATATACAAACTTCAACTGCATATTGGATATACATTTCCCAACTCATTTGGTATTCAAGAGTTTGCAGCTGCTACGCAGACTTTAGAAACGTCACCAGTGTCTAAGTAGAAAGTTGATAAGCCAAGGTTATGTCAAAGAACGTCTCGTCCTTTTTCTAAAATGTTTATTGGAAGATACCAAGACCTTGTTGATAAAAATATTCCGTACGAACTTCACAAATAATACATTACGGTCTTGAAGTATAGATTTTGGATACTGAAGTTGTTTATCATCTTAATTATAGAATTCTTTTTATTTGTCCTTGTACATTTTTAACCTTTACTGTTTAGTCCTTTTTTTGTAATATACTTTTGGCGTGGCTCGGTACTTATACATCCCGCCTTTGTTCTATGGTCAATTGTGTATTCTTGTCTTTCATTTTTGCTGATGTACTTTGCCTATAGAGTGTCTATATGCCATTTTGTTTTTCTTTGTTGAAATAGTTATTTGATTTAATAGTGATTAAGATTATATTACAATGCTGACTGCTGTATCCCAATTTTGGACATTTTTACATATTATGTTTGTTTGTTTTGTTCACACATTGTTGTCAGTATAATGGAATTCTATGCGACTGTCATACAAGTGAAATATGTAGCTAGCTATAAAACCAGGTTTAATCCACCATTTTCTACATTGTTTTCCATTTATTTGATGTGATTGTGCTTTATATTTTGCCATTTGATAAAGGACTTTCCATTTTGAATTTCCCTTGTAGTTCGGTATTTTTGTTATTTTACTTTTTATAAGTAAAGCAGAAATTGATGACTCTTCTCGAGCAAGTGAGTTCACCCCTGGATTTTGGAAGGGTTAATTTTTCTCAGTCTCTAGTTTGCTATTATTGTATTTCTTTTCGACATTTATAGTTTTGGCCTTGGTTTTATCTGTTTTTATAGGAATTCTGATTTTACACCCCTTGGTGTCTTCTTTTCTTTTTACTGTTGACAAGGGTTTAATTTTCTAACCATTTGGTGCTTTTTTGTTATTTTTCATGGGCTTCTATAAAGCTCTAAGTTACTTGTTGTATTGTGTATTATTTTGCTTTTAATCTCAGTAATGTTGCAATTCAAAATTGAAGAGTGTGACAAATTATCTATAAAAAACAAAAGTAAAGACAAACTTGAAACAAAGCAAGTATACGCAAACTTATGATTTTCCTGTAGTTAGTTCTATATTGATCATTCACGGTTCCACAATACTCACAGAAAGTTGGCATTATATCAAAAAAGGGTAAAAATTGATGAACACTATAGATATATATGTGTTGGTGATCTTTAAGGATGTTTGCTACTCTGTTTCTTAATAACAAGCTTTTTAAAAGACTGTTATCAATTGATAGTCAATTGAAAATTTGTCTGGGAATGATTCTCTCTGCATTTTTCATACTTTTAACACTGACACTTTTTCGTATAGAAAAATATGAAAAAATAACAAAGATTTTATTAATGTGTTTTTCAAAAATTGCTTTTCAAACTATATGTTATAAAATTATGAAAAGAAAAGTAAGAGTAAACGGGCAAAATTTGCAATGACAACACATGGATAAAACCATAGGATTCCGTATATCTGACAAAAAATTAAAAACAAGAGAAGCGAACATATTTAAAAGTCAAGCTACATTAAATGGGTTATGTCATAGAGTTTCTTAAAATTTTGCATACTACTTTGGTTTGTTGAACTTTAACTGAAAATCGAAAAAATAATGCATTTATCTGTTTAATTTTCTGAAATATTAATGAATGAAATCTTTCAAAAAAGGTGAATATGTGTATAGAAAGCACATACAATCGGCGAAAAAAACGTTTCTAAATTTGTCTTAAAATCATCAAATTTCTAATTTTGAAAACATAGATTTTTCTTAAAAAAATATATGTTGTTGGTACAAAAAAATCCTTTTTGATGAGGCAAAATAAAAACAGAGCCATCATCTTCGTTTTAACGGTATACATTAATCAAATTGGTGTACTAGGTAAAAAAAATACTACTAAACGTCGAAGTAATCGTATCGTAATCGCGTTGGAGGTTGTAAAACCTCAATTTTTTTTACAATGTAACAGATTGGTTAATACACCAAAACCGAAATCGGTGACCATACGATTAATTCATATCATTAAAACGGGAATTTATGCATCAACAAGTAACAAAATAGAGTTTTTTCAATTATCTTTGTATAAAAAAATGGAAATTTGATGATTTTAAGACAAATTTAAGAATGTTTTATGCTGATATTATGTGCTTTCTATACAAATTTTCACCTACTTTGAAAGAATTCAATCATTAATATTTCGGTAAATAAAAGAGATAAAGGCATTATTTCGACTTGATATATTTCAACGAGCCAAAGTTGTAGGCGAAATTTTACCAAAATATGTGACATAGCCCTTTTACCGTTTCATAACTTTAAGTCGAGAAATATTCTTCTTTGTTAAGAACTACACCGATTCCAGTATCATGCACACCAAAGAAGAAATTGTCAAAATACAGGGTTTTATCGACAACACATTTATCGATTTTAATGAATAGATACCAACATACAATTGATTTTCCATTTGATACTTATTTGGTACCACTTCTTTCGTACTCAGGTTTATAAAACTTATGCAAAAGCACCAGACACGAAGATACATCGAAAACACCTTTAGTTTCATTTTCCAATATATTGATGACCTCCTTTCTTGAAAAGAATCTTTTAAAGAGGGTTCTAAGACCTATTCCTAATATCCCTCCGAACTTGGGGGAAAAAAGGACAGATTCTGATCTTTATCTTTTGCTTGAAATTAATTCTGATGGACAACTGACCAAACTCTTTCTTTTGACAAATGCGATAATGTCGGTTTTCCGTTGGTCAACGTGCAACTTTTGAGTAGTAATAATATTAACGGTATGCACCAGATGCTCATTTCGACAATTGATGTCTCTACATACCTATGTTTGAGCCTTTATTTTTTTCGAACATACATATACTGATTAAGTTTACTAGTTTAATTTCGAGTGCATTTTAATGTTGATAAATACTACAACTGTACACTTGTAACAGGTTATGTATCACTATGAGTATTTTCGAACATCAGCAAATTGAAAGAGTAAATACTAAAAATCTAAAATAAAAATAAATACGTCTCGTAATGGTATTATTGGATGTAATGTTTAACATCTGTTATGTATGTTAAAGTTACACCAGAAGTCAACACTCATGTCATTGATATGGTCATTTTCTGTACATTTACTACGTATAAAAAGACGAATTATTTACAACGCTTAAGTTTTTCTACCCCAAGGTAAAGGTGGCCAAAGTATCATTTTTTGAAATTTTTGATTTTCAATAGTTTTCAGCTTTGTGTTTGATTAAGCATTCCAATTTTTTTGATTAAACCGCCACTAATTCGGTATAATATGGACGAAATACGCGTCTAGCGTATCAAATTATAAGCCTGGTATCTTTGATGAGCTTTTACATGTTGGCCGAAAAGTTTTTAAATATTGAATGTCGTGTTACTCTAGTCTAGCCGTTGTTCGATAGTTTTGATATTTATATTAAAACGAATAATTACGCTGACATGAGAATTATTTCTAACTTTATAAATGCTCAGGCAAATATTTTTTACATATGGTTAGATTTAAGATGGAGGAAAGCAAATAAAAGTATGTCACGTTTCAGTTATCAATTCATATTTAAAAAATACTTACGAAAATATTCAAGTTAAGTCCACTCCTAAATTTGAAATGTGTATAACGCTTTTTAAATGAAAATTTACACTGTGAAATATGTTTTGTAAAGCTTTGACAGTTTTAAAAAAACTAAGTCACTGTATTCGATTTAAAGGCCAAGTTTCAATCCCTCTAGGTCAATGGTAATTATAGAGTATAATTAAGCTCAAATATCTAAATACAGATATGATCTGTTATGGAAATTAAAAGAAAAACAATATTTACAGGAAAAAGAAAATTTGTGAAATCCCATATTATTGCGGAGGCTAACTCTTCGAAAAATATATGCAATAGTTTTTCTACGAAGCTCGAATGCATTCTGTGAACTGTCTGTATTTTTTCTCAACGCAATTATTGAAACGATTTACTAAACAAAACACATTCCGTATTTCCCCCGAAAAGGTGGATTTGAGATCTGCATCAATTTTCTGCCCCCGAAATGCACATTTGCAATTTGATTGAAAGCAAATATGGACTATACATTAAACTAAGTTTATATAGTTTTACTGAATCACAAAAACCTTAAAAACATCACAAAAAGAAGGATTAAAATAATATTTAAATATATAAAGGTTCAAGGTAGAAGCTTATTATATACATAATTACCAAACAAGACTTATTCTTACTACGCGGTTAATCTTTGTGTGTTTGAGTTCATTAGATATGAATTATACCAAAATTAAATATCCCGACTATCCATACAGTTCTATTTGTTAACCTGAAACAGTTACGTTGAAATCCGGGTACTCCATTTTAGTATCAGTTTTATTCGGGCTTCACATTGGACATTAAAAACTAATATTCACTGTCTGTAGTTAGTTATAAAAGGTACCAGGATTATAATTTTATACGCCATACGCGCGTTTCGTCTACATAAGACTCATCAGTGACACTCAGATCAAAATTGTTATAAAGCCAAACAAGTACAAAGTTGAAGAGCATTGAGGACCCAAAATTCCAAAACGTTGTACCAAATACGACTAATGTAATCTATTCCTGGGATAAGAAAATCCTTAGTTTTCCGAAAAATTCAAAGTTTTGTAACAGGAAATTTATAAAAATGACCATATAATTGATATTCATGTCAACACCGAAGTGCTGACTACTAGGCTGGTGATACCCTCGGGGACGAAACGTCCACCAGCAGCGGCATCGACCCTCTGTGTCGTATATTACCTTCTTTTGACGGCTTATGGGATATAAAGCACTAAAAGGAAATATGAGCCGATATCCCCTGTGAAGATCCCGAACAATTATTCTAAAACTGTACAATAAGTTTTGATGTAAAGATGCTGTTTGTAATTATTTTTCATAGACCTATAAAAGACATGAGTAACGTCTTAAATCATATCTAATTTGCACGAAAGTGACAGCTTAGATTAATATGCATTCAACAATAACCCCGTGGAAAATTGTTTCAATCTAATACGCTTTCTCTTTAAATGCTGTTGACATGTGATTCTAGAAATACTAGTATCATAGAATGTATTCTGGTGAAGAATCCATCAAATGACAAATGTCGCATCGATACAAATTATTTAATCAAGGTCCATCTAAAAAATGTGTTAACAAAATACCGAACTCAAATGCAAATTTTAAAAAGCGGGATGTCTATTAATCCTTTGAAATGCTCTACTATATAAACCAACGGAACGACTGGGAAACAACCGTCATATTCCTGGCTTGGTACGACGTATTACGAAGTAATGGTGGATTAAACCTTGTTTCATAGCTAGCTTAACCTCCCACGTATGACAGCTGTTTATTGTTCTGTTATAGCGACAAAATAGTGTGAGCAACCCAAACAGACAAAATTGGTCAATATGACTATAATTGGGATACAGCAGCCAAAATTGTGATAACATACAACTTACTTGAAAAATCCAAACAAACATAAAATTAAATCTAAAAACGACACCCACATCAGGAACGCCAAAAGCCAAAAACCTGGATCACAAATACCCACCCCCGTCACGAATAAAACGACTCAATGGAACAAAATGGTACAAAGACAAATAAAGGGAAAACTACAATGTAAATGAAATGATACACAACATCAGGAACTAGAATCTATAACTCAATATCCTGTATTAGTTGTGAAGTTGACACAGAAGAATATCCATCTATTATTTATTGGTACCTTCCGATGAACTTTTTTAGAAAAAGGACGAGACGCACTTTGACAAACCCATTCTCATTATTTTGTTTAAACACCGATGTGTTTGAGTATCAGCTATAAGCTCTTGAATATCGTATGAGTTTAGAAATGTATACACCATACGCGGTGGAAGTTGGTATATTGCTGCTAATGTGAGGAACATTTATAATTTCAAAATTGAAATCGTCTCGTTTGTCAAAGACTCTGGTACTGAGATGACTGCTTTAGTCAAATTCGAGGTATATGTCTAAAAATAAGGCAGAGGAATTTTGTTCTACTTTAAGCTTTTTGTTTTGTCGTCTGTTTATTAGAGGCAACAGTAGTTACGATGTTCCAATAGCATGAATTCATTAAAAAAATACAATCAAGGTAATACATAAACCAAAAACTAACGGAATCGCATGAAATCTAAACGGATCGAGATCAGATCTGTCGTCGACGTAAAATCGATATTCCGACATCTGAATAAAGCGCTTTTCTGTGTTCCTTTAAAATGTGTGTATTCATCTGCATATTTTACTATTCCATAGTTCAAGATTAGAGGTAATGTCTCTTTCTCAAACCAGATACATCATCCGTGATTGTCGTTTGTTCTATTTAAATGTTTTTTGTTGTTGTTTTTTTTTATAACAAATATTTTACTGTTAATGGACAATTTCCGGTAGTCTCTTTTGAATTCAGATACAAGGCGAGTTAGAGTGTGACATTAAATAAATAACACATAGCTGAGAGGGTGATAGAGCAGATTGTTACCCCGAGAAAACATTGTCAACTGAGGCGAAGCCAAGGTTGACAATGTCTTCTCCAGGGGTAAAAATCTGCTCTATCACCCTCTCAGATATGTGTTATTTAATTTATTATACTGAATGTTCTGTTATTACTTTCTATTTAATTTCAAATTCAAAGTAATAAACTATGTCGTCTTGTACATAACAATCATCCGTATTTATTAAAGCGCACACCTGAGCAAGCGTCTACGTGAAGGGTAATAGAGTATTTGCCATGGGATAGAGTAAATTGTCTCCCTCGTACTAACTAATCAAACTCTGGCATTTTGACATGAATTATAATAAAAGCTTTCCTTTGATTTATATTGAAAATATTGGTTCATGTGTATTTGCAATTGGCACAAGTTTTGAAGATGCCACTCTATGACTATTCGTATCAAGTAGTATGTATTTAAGATAAGTTATTTTAACAATTAACGCAGAAGATTAACAAATATAAACACGTGATATCGACTATTGCGTGTACGAAACATGTTTTTGGAATAATCTTTCAGGCCAAATCATTGTGAAGTCAAATATATAAAATTTTGGACAGCACGAAAACAATGTGCTTTAAAGAACAAAGAACCAAACCCGTATAAAGTTAATTTGTTTGTCTGGGGGAGGTATCTCATGTGTTTTAGTGCAATTAAAAAATTTCTTATCTGCAAATTTAGTCAAACTGAAACATTTCAATCCTGCCCGTACCACTGCATTTGCTACAGCGGATCGTTTCTTTTTGTGCTTTCAGTCTTCTAGCAGGTATCCAAGGCCGATATCATCAATGCAAGAGATATTGGACATAATTAAGATGCTTTTTAAGAGAGACTGTCTTTTGTATGCCGTATTGTAATATGTGATTTATAATCGGTAGTATAGCGAGTTGAAATCTTTGAAAAAGTCAAAATATTGAACGAATGTATAAGGAAAAAAAATATCCTGTAGATTAAGTATAATCTATTTAAAAAAAAATCAGGAACCTTTTTGTGATATTGATTTTCATTTTGAATAAAGTCAATGCGCAATTGGGGTTAACATTTGATAGCTAAATTAAAGTTACATAAAACAGGAAGATTTGTTGACCTGTGCTGAATTTTCACGTTTCTGGCATTGTCACTGATCATTATTATTTGTTATGCTCTGGTATTTAATATATTTGGTTACAGCATTACAATGAGTGATGATGATCGAGATATTACTCAGGTGTCTCAGTCACTAACAGCATTATTTGATTTAAGTAAGGTTTCGGTTACGATTTCCAAAATGACACATAATTATCAAATAAACTCGATCATTTGTAAGAATAAAAATGGCTTTTACGATAAGTAGAATTGAACTCGGATGATGTTTGAAAAGTGGTTTAGAGATAGGATAACAAAGTAGCACCGAAAGTGTTATTTCATGACACAGTTAAACTTGTCAAACAGGAAGGTTTTTTTACGAAATCAATTTAATCAGTCTGTCAAGTTGGCCTGTGTCTTAATAGCTGAATACTTTTTTTTAGTATATTTTAGTATATAACATGAGCAACACGACGGGTGCCAAATGTTGAGCAGGGTCTGCTTACCCTTCCGGAGCACCTGAGATCGCCCCAGTTTTTGGTGGGGTTCGTGTTGCTCAGTCTTAATTTCTAAGTTGTGTTTTGTGTACTGTGTTTGTCTGTTTGTCTGTTTGTCTTTTTCTTTTTTAGCCATGGCGTTGTCGGTTTATTTTTTACTTATTAGTTTGAATGTCTCTTTGGTATCTTTCGCCTCTCTTTTATACTAGAATGTTTATTTCCACGGCATAATTATATATTAGATGAACGATCGAAGGTGTTGCTGTTTTCTTAATAATTATGTCTAGTTGAAATTCAAGTATTTAATCATCTAGGATTTTGGCCTAGTTAAAAGAACGGTTGCTATTTCACATATCGTTCACAAATAAAATCCCATATATAATGTGTTAGTTCATACGGCGAGCTTCCGTTATTGCAATCACTCGATGTTTATGGACCAATACCTTCTTTCCCTGGCACATTAGCCAGATGAAACCGAACAATCAACCTCTGCTGGTGTTTAGTTTTAAAACATGTTAAATTTCCTTGCCGACCAAACGTCATTGCTGTCCTTTTAGATATTTACTGATGAAAAAAAACATTGGAATACA